GGTGAGCAGACACATGTCCTTGCCACGGCAGGCTGCGGCCAGTGCCATCGTGCAGCCGAAAAAGTGCTGAGGGCCTTCGAGGGAGGAGTGGTTGTGTCTTCAAGGAAGAAAAACGTAAGAAAGAATTTGAAGAACAAGGGTGTCTTTGACGGATGGAAAAGGGAAAAAACGGTTCCAGCCCTTCCTGGCTAACCCGGTGAAACCCCGTCTCTACTAAAAAAATACGAAAAACTAGCTGGGCGAGGTGGCGGGCGTCTGTAGTCCCAGCTACTGGGGAGGCTGAGGCAGGAGAATGGTGTAAACCCGGGAGGTGGAGCTTCTAGTGAGCTGAGATCCGGCCATTGCACTCCAGCCTGGGCGACAGAGCCAGACTCCATCTCAAAAAAAAAAAAACGGTTCCAGGAAGAGTGAGCTCAATAAGCAAAGATGCGGAGACCCAAAACGTCATGGCCTCTTCAGGGAAACCACAGTCATCTGATGTGGCCTCAGCCAAGGCCTGCAGGGGAGTGGGAGTGCGGGGCTGGCCCGGAGCCTCCAGGTGGTGCCTGAGCCCTGGGAGCTGTCCAAAGCTGGCAGTGACTGCCACATACAGCTCTACGGACAGGACCGGGGCAGCTGGCAGAGAGGATGAACTTGGGCAGTCAGGGGCCAGGATCGCAGCTAGGAGGAGTTTCCAAATCACCCCCGAGGGGCAAAGGGTCGATGGGGGGCATTGTCTGAAAACCTCTGGCCTGTTTGTGTAGACATCCAGGTCAGAGGTGGGGTGAGGGGAGGGGGTCTGCAGTAAACAATGATATGTCAGGCCCTGGGTGGGTAAGAGCCTGCAGAACCACAGCTTCTACATTGCATCCTCACCTTCCTTTAATCCTCATCTGAAAAATGGAAATGAGAGCAGCACCCACCACAAGCAAGGATGCTGTGGTTCCAACGCTCAGCTCTGCCCCGTATATAGTGAGACCTCAGAGGTTAGATGGGCAGAACTGACCCACCTTCAGGGGTGACACAGAGAGAGGAGGTAAGCACCCTTCAATGCCCTTCTCCAGAACCCCCCATCCCTTCCTCACCATCCTCTGTTGGGGGTAGGAGGGTTGGCCAAGGTTTGGCCAGTCTTGGTGAGAAAGACAGGTCCCAATCATGTTTGTCAACCTGTTGTGTTTTGTTTTTAACAAGTGGAATTTTTTTTTTTTTTTTTTTTTTTGAGACAGAGTCTTGCTCTGTGGCCCAGACTGGAGTGACCATCTCAGCTCACTGTAACCTCCACCTCCCAGGTTCAAGAAATTCTCATGTCTCAGCCTCCTGACTAGCTGGGACTACAGCCATGCGCCACCACACCCAGCTAATTTTTGTATTTTTAGTAGAGATGGGGCTTCACCATGTTGGCCCGGCTGGTCTCAAATGCCTAACCTCAGGTGATCCACCCACCTTGACCTCCCAAAGTGTAGGGATTACAGGCATGAGCCACCGTGCCCAGCCGACCTTTTTTGTTATTAAATTCAACCAATATAATAATTACTCTGCAAGACAGCTATAGGGGCCGGGCGTGGTGGCTCACCCCTGTAATCCCAGCACTTTGGGAGGCTGAGGCGGGCGGATCACGAGGTTAGGAGATCGAGACCATCCTGGCTAACATGGTGAAACCCTGTCTATACTAAAAATACAAAAAATTAGCCAGGCGTGGTGGCGGGCGCCTGTAGTCCCAGCTACTCTGGATGCTGAGGCAGGAGAATGGCGTGAACTTGGGAGGCAGAGCTTGCAGTGAGCCGAGATCAGGCCACTGCACTCCAAACTGGGTGACACAGCGAGACTTCATCTCAAAAAATTAAAAAATAAAAAAAAAAAGGCTGCTATAAAAGGTTCTAGATACTTACTTTACCATTTTTTTTTTCCAGTACCACATTTATTTTTTTCTTTGAGACAGTCTCGTTCTGTCGCCCAGGCTGGAGTGCAATGGCGCTGTCAGCTCACTGCAACCTCCACCTCCTGGGTTCAAGCAATTCTCATGGTTCAGTCTCCCAAATAGCTGGGATTACAGGTGCCCACTACCATGCCTGGCTAATTTTTGTATTTTTAGTAGACATGGGTTTTATCATGTTGGTCATGCTGGTCTCAAACTCCTGACCTCAGGTGATTCTCCTGCCTTGACCTCCCAAAGTGTTGGGATTACAGGTGTGAGCCACCATGACCGGCCGGCACCCGGCTAATTTTGTTTGTTATTATTTGTAGAAACAGGGTCTTGATATGTTGCCCAGGCTGGTCTTGAACTCCTGGACTCACGGGATCCTCCCGCCCCAGCCTCCCAAAATGCTGGGATTACAGGTGGGAACCACCTCACCCTGCCTACTTACTTAATTTTTTTTACATGCAGTAAGATACACAAAACATAAAAGTTGCTATTTTAACCATTCAAAGTTACAATTCAGTGGCATTTAGTGCATTCACACTGTTGAGCAACCCTCACTACTATCCAATTCCAGGATATTTTCTTTTTTTTTTTTTTTGAGACGGAGTCTCTCTCTGTCGCCCAGGCTGGAGTGCAGTGGCGCGATCTCGGCTCACCGCAAGCTCCACCTCCTGGGTTCACGCCATTCTCCTGCCTCAGCCTCCCGAGTAGCTGGGACCACAGGCACCCGCCACCACGCCCGGCTAATTTTTTTGTATTTTTAGTAGAGACGGGGTTTCACCGTGTTAGCCAGGATGGTCTTGAACTCCTGACCTCGTGATCCACCCACCTTGGCCTCCCAAAGCGCTGGCATTACAGGCGTGAGCCACTGCGCCCGGCCCCAGGACATTGTCATCATCCCACAGGGGAACCCCAAGCTCATTCAGCTCATTCGTGGGTCACCTTGACCTGTTTTCAACTCTCCCAGACACCCCTTTTTCTGCTTTATTGTGATTTGAAACATGGTTACTGGGGGGGGGAAAGAAGTCAAAACACCAGAGCCAGAGCCGGGAGGTGGTTTGTTTTTAAATTGTATCTGCCCAAATAACAATAGCAACAGCTACAGCAATGGCAATCATAGTGACATTTCTTATGGGCTTTATTCCGAGCCCTGAGCTAACTTGCTTTTCAGAGGGAATTGCTTAATCCCCAAAGCCGCCGTGTAAACTAACTGCTAGATTATGACCAAAAGGAAACTGAGGTGTCCCCGAGTGGACAGATGGGCCTGCTCCACGCCCACGCCCACTCGCCGTGTGAGCTGGGACAGGTGGATTATCATCTCTGGACCTGGACTCCAACCTCCATAGAAAGGACTTATTTCTGGGCTCAGAGGCTCCCGCCTATAATCCAAGCATTTTGGGAGGCCAAGGTGGGAGGATCACTTGAGGTCAGGAGCTCGAGACCAGCCTGGCCAACGTGGCAAAATCCCGTCTCTACTAAAAATACAAAAAAAAAATTAGCCAGGGGTGGTGGCGCACACCTGTAATCCCAGCTACTCGGGAGGCTGAGGCAAGGGAATCGCTTGAACTCAGGAGGCGGAGTTTGCAGTGGGCCAATATGGTGCCATTGCACTCCAGCCTGGGCAACAGAGTGAGATTCCATCTCAAAAAAGGAAAGGAAAGGAAAGGAGAGGAAAGGAGAGGAAAGGAGAAAGAGAGAGAGAGAGAGAAAGAGAGAGAGAGAGAGAGAAAGAAAGAAAGAAAGAAAGAAAGAAAGAAAGAAAGAAAGAAAGAAAGAAAGAAAGAAAGAAGAAAGAAAGAAAGAAAGAAAGAAAGAAAGAAAGAAAGAAAGAAAGAAAGAAAGAAAGAAAGAGAAAGAAAGAAGAAAGAAAGAAAGAAAGAAAGAGAGAAAGGGCGGGCACGGTGGCTCAAGCCTGTAATCCCAGCACTTTGGGAGGCCAAGGTGGGTGGATCACGAGGTCAGGAGATCAAGACCATCCTGGCTAACACGGTGAAACCCCGTCCCTACTAAAAAATACAAAAAACTAGCCGGGTGAGGTGGCGGGCGCCTGTAGTCCCAGCTACTTGGGAGGCTGAGGCAGGAGAATGGCGTAAACCAGGGAGGCGGAGCTTGCAGTGAGCTGAGATCCGGCCACTGCACTCCAGCCTGGGCAACACAGCGAGACTCCGTCTCAAAAAAGGAGAGGAGGGGAGGGGAGGGGAGGGGAAGAAAGAGAAAGAGAGGGAAGGAAAGAAGGAAGGAAGGAAGGAAGGAGGGAGGGAAGGAGGGAGGGAGGGAGGGAGGGAGGGATTTATAATAGGCTGCCCTGTGGATGGAGTGAGAGGAAGCGCCGCTCACCCCTGGAGGAGTTGGCTGCTGTTGTACTCACTGGAGGCTCAGGCCTCACCTACCGCGCCCCTCTCCCAGTGTAGATTTTTTGTTTTAACACAGAGGGAGAGTGGGAAAGGGGAACTGGGACCGGCAGTGCATGGGGCTGGGTGGGGGGAGTTCCCATTCACCCTCCCCAACCCTAAACGCCTACTCACTTCCTTCCATGCTAGTCAGCTCACCCCTGAGCGCCCTCCATCCTGGGCCTCTCTGAGGGCAGGGAGTGGTTATGAGAAGTGAGTGGGATGGCAGGCTGGAAATCACCCCGGCGGGGCCCAGGGTGGAGCAGGGGCTTGTCCGTGTCCTTAACACCAGACAATCAGCACTGCTGAATTTCAGGGGGAGGTTGAGGGTTTTTTGGTTTCCGTTTTTGAGACAGAGTGTCACTCTGTCACCCAGTGGCACGATCTCAGCTCACTGCAGCCTCAACCTCCCATGCTCAAGTGATCCTCTTGTCTCAACCTCCCTGGGAGCTGGGACTACAGGTGTGCACCACCACACCCAGCTAATTTTTAAAATTTTTTTGTAAAGACAAGTTCTTGATATATTGCCCAGGCTGGTCTCAAACTCCTGGGCTCAAGTGATCCTCCACCTGAACCTCCCAAAATGCTGGGATTACAGGCATGTGCTATGGTGCCCAGTCAAGTATCTGTTGAATGAATGAATGAATGAATGAATGAATGAATGAATGAATGAAATCTTTGCGAGGGCTCCAAGGACACATAACATGAGGTCAGGCTCTGTAAGGAGGCATTTATTTATTCAGGACCCTGGGGACAGGCACAGGACTTAGGTTTTTGTTCTGGGGCAGTCCCTGGGATCCCCAGCCCCTACTCTTCATCTTCCAGCTTCTCCATCTGTCTCCCCGCCACCTGCACCCTCACAGTTCTCATCTCGCAGCCCATCAAGCGAGGTGGAAGGTCTCAGGCCCTTTTTGTAACAAGCACATGTCCTGCGTTGTCACCCACGATGCAGCAGCCTCCCCTTTCTCCCATTGCCCCTTTGGGATGCCAGGGCTCCCAAGCCTGATGGGGGACCAGCGGCAAGGGAAGGCAGGGAGCTTTTCCAAGAACCCTGGTTTTTGTGGAGCAGAGAGGGACTGGCTCTTGGAGTGGCTTGGTAGAGGGGAGGGCCATCCCCTGGGGACTTGGGGTGGGCAGCTGGTCCCCCTAAGTGGACGCAGACTGGAGCCAGCACCCAGACCGGAGCAGACCTGAGTGTACAGAAGCCGCTGGGAACTTCTTCGCCTGCTAAATATTTAGACAGTGAGATGGATGGGGAATCCAGGGCCACAGCAGGTCGGCCAGGCCACTGGCTATTTTGAGAGAACCATTCTTTCTGCGCTCCAGGATAAATGTTTCCTCTGTCCCCCGCACTCTCTTCCCAGAGCCAGCAGCGACTACGCTGCGCAGGAGAAACAGCAGCCAATCGGCCCCAGAGTTTGGGGGCCAAGGTTCCAGCATCCGCAGCCATCAGCCATGTCCCTGATTTTCTGGTTCCTGTCCCTCGAAGACAGGGATCACAGGGTCAGCGCCAAATGTCAGCAGAGGGAGCAGGCGACATGGGCTTCTGCTTTGGACGACGCTCCCACGGTGCTGCCGCCGGACTGCTGTGTGAGAGGCAAGGGCGCCACCTGCCCCTCGCCCCAAGCCGACAAAGGCACCCAGCTCCCCTCCTTTCCCACAGGAGCCGAGGGGGCCCTTGGGTCCCTCCTCCCGGAGGTGAGCTGGGAAAGGGGTGTCTGCGAGTCGCCGTGGGCAGGCCCGAGGCACAGGCAGCAGACCCAGAGCTTGAGTTGCTTGAAGACAGCCTTGCGGAAAAGGATGAAGACCCAGGGGTCCAGGATGGGGTTGAAGGCGTAGAAGCGGAAGGCAAGGAGGTCCCCCATCTCGCTGCTGCTGTCAGGGGCGACGGCCTGGGTGAAGCAGCGGATCTGAGGGCAGGGTGAGGGCGTCAAGAAGCACCCAGGAGTCCTCAGCCTCCCCACCCTGGCTCCCCCCTCCCACTCGCTTACCAGGGATGAGGTAAGGGCGGCATGTCAGAGGGGAAGAAGAGAAGATAAAAACTAAGTAACAAATGCATCTGGGGAACACAGGGAGAGAAAGTCCCAGGAAATTGCCAGAGATGCCTAAGGGGAGAGGAATGGGGGCCAGGTATATGGGCCCCCCCAACCTTAGAAGCTGGGAGGACCCCCAGGCTCCACAGATGTTTGAATATAACGTCCCTGCAAGAAGGCGGCGCCACCCAGCTGGACCCCCTGAAACTGCCGCAGAGCTCTGTGTATCTGTGTGTATCTGTCCACAGCATCTGAGTCTCTGAGTCAGGGTAACCCCCCAAAAAGATTTAAGGACCCCCCCAATCCAGCCTGGCCTCTTGCATTTTACAGAAACAGAAACTGAGACTCAGAAGAAAGGTGGCACGACCAGGTATCACGGACACTGAGTAGGTACCGGGGTCTGTGCCATTCCCATTGGGGAGGGGCAGGACAGGAGTCCCCGCAGAAAACCGAGGTGCGGAGGCAAGGGTGGGGCCTGCTGTGAGGCAGAGGGGAGCCAGGTGAGTGGGAGATCAGGCTCTACAATCGAAGGACCCAGGACCGAGACCAGGCTCTGTGTGACTGTGGGCGAGAGACACTGCCCCTCATCTGTAAAAACGGGGATGAGAGAGAACGTTCTCTTGGTTTCCTGCCAAATGCTGTGGAATGGGTGGCTGTGATCATTTTGAAAATTGTCTTAGGAAGTACTTGTAAGCCACTAAGTACGAGGTAGGCATAGAGGAGCGCTCAATGAGTGGTGGTTTTTCATTACAGGGGTAGGGGAAGGAGGGGGATGCATTTTATTACAGGGGGCTCAGGATGCCTGAGCTGGGAGACAAGGTACCAGAAGAAGTCAGACGCAGAAAGTCTTCTCCAGAAAGCCAGGATCTGTCTGACTGGGGACCAAGCCTCTGTCTGATTTGTTTTTGTTTTCTTTGTTTTTGTTTTGAGACAAGGTCTTGCTCTGTCAGCTAGGCTGGGATGTAGTAATCACAACTCACTGCAGCCTTGACCTCCCAGGCTGCAGCAATCCTTCCACTTCAGCCTCCCAAGTAGCTGAGACCACAGGCACAGGCCATCATGCCAGGCTAATTTTTAAATATTTCATAGAGATGGGGTTTCACCATGTTGCCCGGGCTGGTCTCAAACCTCTGAGCTCAAGTGATCCTCCTGCCTTGCCTTTCTTTTTCTTTTCTTTTTTTTTTTTTTTTTCTTATTTATTTATTTATTTTTGAGATGGAGTCTCACTCTGTCACCCAGGCTGGAGTGCAGTGGCACGATCTCAGCTCATTGCAACCTCCGCCTCCCCGGTTCAAGCGATTCTCCTGCCTCAGCCTCCCAAGTAGCTGGGACTTCAGGCATGTGCCACTACACCCGGCTACTTTTTATTTATGTATTTGTTGTATTTTTAGTAGAGACAGGGTTTCATCATTTTGGCCAGACTGGTCTCGAACTCCTGACCTCGTGATCCGCCCAACTCAGCCTCCCAAAGTGCTGGGATTACAGGCGTGAGCCACCGCATCCAGTCCTGCCTCGGCCTTTCTAAATTCTGGGATTACAGGCATGAGCCACCATGCTCACGATGTCTGACCTCTTTTGAGCCTCAGTCTCCCCATCTGTGACATGGGCACAACCCACAGAGCTGCCCTCCTCCTCTCCCCACTCCCCCCAGCTCCGGAGGGGACTCACCGTGAGAGGCAGGGAGCACACGGCCATGACCCCCGTCATGAGGGCCAGCAGGATCAGGTGGTCCACCTCGTCCTCTCCGGTGCGCGGGCGTGGACCCACCGAGCCCTGGTGGCGCTTCTGCTGGCGGTACATGCGGCAGAGGCTGAGGGTGACCGAGCCGTTGCACAGGAAGATGGCGGCCACCAGCAGGGCCACCAGGCCGGCGTAGGCCAGCGAGAAGGCGGCGCCGCCCGGCTGGGCCCAGCGCATGCGGAGGAAGCACCAGCTACCGGGGCAGTACTGCTGGTGTTGGCCCAGGCCCAGCAGGGGCAGCGCGCAGAAGAAGACGCAGAAGGCGTAGATGGCTGGCAGCGCCAGGCGGGCGCAGCGGGGCCCGTAGAGTTGCGCGTAGAGGTAGGGGTGGCTCAGCGCCAGGCAGCGCTCCACGGCCATGGCGAAGAGGATGAGCATGGACGCCAGGCCGAAGAAGGTCATGGCGAAGGCGAAGGCATCGCACAGCGCGGGGCCGCCCCGGGCCAGGCCCAGCAGGGAGCTGTTGCGCGCATAGGCCACGAACACGGCCGGGCTCAGGAAGCTGGTGCCCAGCAGGTCGGTGGCCGCCAGCCCGGTGACCAGCACCGCGAAGGCCGAGGGGCGCGCCGGTCGCCGCGCGTGCAGGATGCCCAGGGCCAGCCCGTTGCCCACCACACCGGCCACGAACATCAAGGTGCTGGTGGCCGGCCCCACTGAGCCCCGCACGTAGGTGAGGTTCCTGCAGGAATCTGCCATCCCAGGTCTGGCCTGGAGGGTTCCCAAGGTGGAAGGTGTGGGGTCAGAGGGAGCCAAGGCTACCCCCACACCCAGCCCACTCAGGTGTCCCTACTGGCCAGTCCTTGTGGCAGCTGGGGCCTCCCAGTCAACCCCCAGTTCTCCTGTGTATGTGTATGTAGTCCTATCGCCTCTGGCTTCTCCCATATCTCTCTCTCTCTCTCTGTCTCTCCCCGCCCTCCTATTTCTCTTTCTTTTTCTCTTTGTTTTCTTTTTTTTTTTTTTTTGAGATGGAGTCTCACTCTGTTGTCTAGGATGGAGTGCAATGGCATGATCTCAGCTCACTGCAACCTCCACCTCCTGGGTTCAAGCGATTCTCCTGCCCCAGCCTCTGGAGTAGATGAGATTACAGGCGCCCACTACCACGCCCAGCTAATTTTTGTATTTTTAGTAAAGATGGGGTTCCACCATGTTGATCAGGCTGGTCTTGAACTCCTAACCTCAGGTGATCTATCCACCTCGGCTTCCCAAAGTGTTGAGATTACAGGCGTGAGCCACCATGGCTGGCACCCCCCCACCTCCTATTTCTTTCCTTCTCTAGCTCTGTTTCTGCCATTAAAGAGACAGAGAACATCCGGGCATCGCCAGTTCTTTCCTTCTCTGTCTCTCGGTCTCTTGCTGTTATCTCCGTGTCTCCGTCCCCTCCCTTGTCCTTGTCCTCCCCGTACCTTTCTCCCTCTAACCCCACACCCTCTACCCGCTCCTGCTCTGTGTTGCTGCTTCCCCAGCTCCTCACCGCACCTCTCCAGTCTTGCCCAGGCTCTCCTGTCCCGCACGTCTGTCCCTTCACTTGCTCTGCTCCGTGTGTCTCTCGCTGCCTGTGTTGGTCTGTGTGTCAGCTTCTCCTTCCCTCCTCCCTCCTTCCCTCCCTCCCTCCCACCCTCCTCAGCTTGCCTGCTCACCCCAGCTTTTTCATTTCCTCTCTCTGCCCCGCCTTCCCTCACTGTTCTCCAGAGGCCCCCCTGGCACACTCCCCATTCCCCATCCACCCGCCCAACCCAGGACATCCATCTCCCATTGCTGCCTCCACTCTCCTCCCCACATCCTCTCTTGGTTCCCATCACTGAGCCACCTGCCACCTCCCCACACACAGGACTCCTCCCTCCCCCAGTGTCTCCCTCTCTGGCCTGGGTGGGAAATTCCTGAGTCACCATCACTTAGGCTTGGAGCCTCTTGGGGTAGTAGGGGACCACTAGGAGGGACCTGAAGGGCACAGTTGACTGGGCTTCAATGGGGTGGCCTTGGCCTGGGCTGTCTCAGGGTGGCCTCTGGGATCTATTCTGGGCTCCAGGCCCTGGGGCTTAGGACATTGCCCAGGGATTGAGAAATGACCAGGAAATTCCTCTCTGATGTAGTGTTTTCCAGACACCACTGAGAGTTCTAGTCCCTGGACAAAACTCACTCCTTCCGGAAAGCTGAGGAAGGAGGCTTGGCCAGAGAAAGACATGCCAGTCCTTCGAGCCTGTCCCTGGGCACCCAGCTCACCCTGCAGAGACCCGAGAAAGAAGCATGAAGGGGCGTATTTGGTGTCCAGTTGTCAGGAACAGGCCTGGGCGACTTCCATGGCCCACCATGGAAGGGTAGCACTGGGCCACCCTCTGACTTCTCACACAGCACCCCTAGGCCCCTGGTGACCTTGACCTTCAGGAATCATATTTTGATCACAGGAAGCTGTCCACAACTCCAACATTGCTGCCATGCGTCCCCTGCCCTCCCCAAACACAGCCAAGCCACCACCGCTGTAGCCTCGGGCCAGTGTGACAGACCCACGTGCTCCCACTGCCCACACAGCATTCACGAGTCTCCCTTCCCACAGAGTCCGTGGCTTCCCAGGCAGCCTCCCAGCCCAAAAGGGCCAGATAAAACCTCGGAGACCCTCTCTGAGCCCCGCTGTTTATCAGGGGGCAGTCTCAAATCCATTTGACTTGACTTCCTGTTTCCATCTGACCACCTTTTTCCTTGCTGTGTGATGGACCCAGGCAAGGAGAGGGAGCTGGTAGACTTCAGCCGCCTCCTCTGTGCGTGAGGTAGCACGGGCCTCACCAGCCTGGTGGCTGCCCTCGGCCTGCAGCACATCCCAGATCGGTCTTTGTAACAAGGAGAGAGCCTGTGCAGATGTCTCATGTCCAAGGCCAAGAGGGATGTGTCCAACCCAAGGACTGGACTGTGGGCAGCTGTAGTCTTGCCTTCTCTGTACCCTGGCGTGTGACCACAACCCCTTTGCCCCTTCCCCCCATCTCCCTATCACCCATGCCCAGCTGGCACCCGCAGCTTCCAGCAGGATGAACGCCCAAGTACCAGCCCTACCGTGGCTCCCTAAGGGACCCCACAGCCCTGCTCTAGGGGTGTCTGTGCATGTGGGCTCCAGGTCGTGCCACGTGGTCCCGCCTCAGGCTGTCTGGTCCCCAGGCAGACCAGAGGGAACTCAGGAAGTTATATCGTATTAATGAAGGATGATGCCTGGCACGCGTGCGTCTTGTTTCAACCGGGTGGCCTCTGGTTCCCCGAGCCTCCCTCTCTCTTGCTTCCTGTTACAAGGACGGTTAACATTCAGGAAGTCCCCTCTGCTCCCATGCCCAGTGGGACTGCAGTCAAACCCCTGGTCCCTTCCAGGCCTCAGTTTCTTTTTTGTTGTTGTTTTTCTTTTTGTTTGTTTTTGATTTGAGATGGAGTCTTGCTCTGTCACCTAGGCTGGAGTACAGTGGCATGATCTCAGCTCACTGCAACCTCCGCCTCCCGGGTTCAAGCGATTCTCCTGCCTCAGCCTCCCAGGTAGCTGGGATTACAGGCACGTGCCCCTGCGCTCAATTTTTATATTTTTAGTAGAGTTGGGGTTTCACCATGTTGGCCACGCTGGTCTTGAACTCCTGACCTCAGGTGATCGGCCTGCCTTGGCCTCCCATAGTGCTGGGATTATAGGCGTGAACCACCATGCCTGGCTGTTTGTTTTTGAGATGGGGTCTTGCTCTGTCACCCAGGCTGGAGTGTAGTGCTGCAATCTCAGTTCACTGCAACCTCCACCTCTGGGGTTCAAGCAATCCTCCCACCTCAGCCTCCTGAGTAGCTGGGACTACAGGCACCCACTGCCACGCCCAGCTAATTTTTGTATTTTTGTAAAGACAGGGTTTCACTATGTCACCCAGGCTGGTCTCAAACTCCAGGACTCAAGTGATCTGCCTACCTCGGCTTCCCAATGTGCTGGGATTATAGGCCACCATGCCTGGCCTCAGGCCTCAGTTTCCCCGCTGATGCCACTAGGAGCCAGGAGCCCTGGCAACCCCAGCATCGGTTCTGTGTTCCTGCATCAGGAGCAGGTAGGGGTGGCAGTGACTGTGCCTCCCTCCTAATGAGGGGACTGAGTTCCCCAGAGTCCGTACTGGCGCCAGACATGCCTCAGTCACCTTCCCCTGAAACCCAGCCTCCTGCTTGGCCATGGCCCCAGCTAGCCGGGCCAAGCCCACAGCAGTGTCCACAAGGGGGTTCTGCTCCCCGGCCAGATGCCTTGGGGTGAGGAATCACCCACGGTGTGTTGTGCCAGGGGCGGCTTCCAGGGGCGGCTTCCAGGCTGGGCGGAGCTACGGAAGGAGTCAGCAGCCCTCCTCTCGCCCTCTCTCCACCCATGGCGAGGAAAAGAACCAGGCCTCCCTGGGGAGGACCCCGAGGCAGCAGGGAAAAAGAGGAAGGACAGCTCAGAGACCACCGAGATTAGGGACCGACCAAGTGACACACAGCACCCGGGAGGGGAGAGACATCGAGGCTAATGTGCTGGGGACTGTGGGTCTGTAACCGGATTGTGACTCTGCGTAGAGTTAGTGCAACCCACGCGACCTAAGTGAGCATTTTTTCTCAGCATTGTGATTGTGTTTGTGTGTGTGAGTATTGTGTGTATGTGTGTATTGTGAGCTCGTGGGACTCTGTGCGTCCACATAGGCACACAGCTATGTTGTAGTTTTGTCTGGTTTTTGAGACGGAGTTTCGCTCTGTTGCCCAGGCTGGAGTGCAGTGGCCAGATCTCAGCTCACCACAACCTCCACCTCCCGGGTTCAAGTGATTCTTCTGCCTCAGCCTCCCAAGTAGCTGGGATTGCAGGTACCCGCCACCACGCCCAGCTAATTTTTGTATTTTAGTGGAGATGGGATTTCACCATGTTGGTCAGGCTGGTCTCGAACTCCTGATCTCAGGTGATCTGCCCACCTCAGCCTCCCAAAGTTCTCGGATTAGAGGCATGAGCCACTGTGTGTGACCTAATTTTTTTGAGACAGGGTTTCACTCTGTCACCCAGGCTGGAGTGCAGTGGCGAGATTTCAGCTTGCTGCAACCTCCACCTCCCAGGCTCAAGCGGTGCTCCTGCCTCAGCCTCCTGAGTAGCTGGGACTTCAGGTGCCCGCCACCATGCCTGACTAATTTTTGTAGTTTTAGTAGAGGCAGAGTTTCGCCATGTTGGCCAGGCTGGTCTCGAACTCATGACCTCAAGTGATCCCCCCAACCTCAGCCTCACAAAGTGCTGGAATTACAAACTTGACCCACCACACCCGGCCCAGGCCTGCATCTGGAAGTGCCGCAGACCTAAGATCCTGGCTTGCCCTGGGCCTGACCCTCTCCGGACTCCCTGGTTTCCGTCTTCCTGGCACTGGCCCTGGGAGGAGGCGGGCCTTATCTCATGTTCTGCACACACGCACCACCAGCTGCTCGTGCCTGCCAGGCCTGCCGTCGGCCTGCTGTGCCCTCTCACTGCTTTGAGAAACTGCTATGTGTCCCAGACCTGTCCCGCCTTGACTGCTTCCAGCATCCAGAGCCAGAGGCCTCCTTTCTCTAACCACTCACTGCCCTCCACCACAAACAGGCCCTGGCCTACCTTCTTGTGGCTGCATCTCACCTTGCTCCAGGGGGCATAACCCAGTCTTCTGCCTCTGAATGGGCCATGCCCCTCACCTGGGGATCCCCTCATTTCCCAGTCTTCAAGGCCTCCTTGTCACCCCCTGAGCCTCTCCAGAGTGGTCGTCCATCCGATCCTCCCATTCCAGCCTCAAACCCCAGATGGTTACCTTTCAATGCCTATTTTTCTTTCCTTCTTTTTGAGATGGAGTCTTGCTCTGTCCTCAGGCTGGAGTGCACTGGTGCAATCTCGGCTCACTGCAACCTCTCCCTCCTGGGTTCAAGTGATTCTCGTGCCTCACTGTCCCGAGTAGCTGGGATTACAGGTGCGCACCACCATGCCCAGCTAATTTTTGTATTTTTAGTAGAGACAGGGTTTCACCATGTTGGCCAGGCTGGTCTTGAACTCCTGACCTCAAATGATCCGCCTGCCTTGGCCTTCCAAAGTGCTGGGATTACAGGCATGAGCTACTGCGCCGGGCCCCAGGCCTGTTTTCTTTGTCTGTAAAATGGGGATAAACAGAGTCACCTTGAGGGCTACTGTGAGCATTGAGCAAGATGGGACTGTTGAACCCGTTCCCCTAGGAAGTGATGGCCAAGACTGCAGCTCCTGCTGGCTCTGAGCTTTCCCTCCCCTGCCCTACCCCTTCAGCCAGGCCATGCGCTGCTCTGAGCACCTGGGTTGAGGTGCAGTTTGCGATGGGGGTGCAGAGGGAAGACAGCCTGGAATAGGGCAGCTGAGAGCCCTTGGGGTCTGCACCTCACCCTGCAGCCACCTCTACTTCTTGGCCTGTCTCTGACCCCAGCCTGGGCCTGGCCCCAGAGCTGACTTCACCTCTGGGGGTGGCAGGAAGCAGCAGCTGGTGACCAGAAGCTGGTGCTGCTACGAGGCGGTAAATCTAATAAGATTATTCGGATCTGTTCTCGTGGAGGCTGGGCACACAGGGACCTGCCCTGTCCCTTCTGGATTGTGACTCCTGGCTTCTCCTTTCCCCAGCCCCAGTTCCCCATCCTCCTCCTCCTCCATAAAGACACCTGCTGCTGGTCCCCTCTGTGTCCCACTCCCGCCAGCCCTCCCTTCCCCCAACCCAGGTCCCATTCAACTGCTTATTCATCTCCATAGTTTCTGTCCCCCAAGACCAGGGATGGAAAGGAGGAAGGGTTTGCACTACGCAGCTCCGAGATTCCAGGGCTCGAAGGATCTAGCTCCCAAGAGCCTAGGCTCAGGAACTCCTTACACTTCTCCTGATATGCCGAGCTCTGGAATCCTAGGGCACAGGACCCCAGGATCTTGGCCCCAGAGGATTGAAAGATGCTGGAATTCCAGCCCTCGGAGGTCCTGGGATCCTAGATTCGTTTGCATTTCAGGTTCTGAGCTGTAAGGATGCAGGATCTGTGAATTCTGGAATCCTTCTAGCTCCTTCCTGCCCATCTTCTCTCCCAGCTCCTCCTCCACACCCTAGCTCATCTCTGGCTCACTCCCTGTCCCCCGTCTCCCCCGGGGCTCCCACAGACATGATGCAACCAGGCCCGAGCCAAGCAGGCTCAGCGGTGGGAAGCAGGAGGGAGATGTAATTACAGACGCTCCTGCCTGGATCCTACAGGAGACTCAGACTAGGCACCCGGGGGACCCTAATCCAATGTGAATAATGGAGCAGACTTGTGCACATTCCCCCTGTGGAGGGGAGGCCCAGCAAGCCACCTCCAGCCAGACCCAGGGTCCAGCCTCCACCAGCCCCGAGCTGGGGAGCCTGAGTATTAGACAAGATAAGAGGAGATGAGGGAGAGGAGAGGGAGTGATCCTCAGGCCCTTGGACCAACCAGATAAAATAATTGGCCAAACCCACAGCTTCCCTGGCCTGCATTCTCCCCATTTTCTTTTTTTTTTTTTTGAGACGGAGTCTTGCTGTGTCACCCAGGCTGGAGTGCAGTGGCACAGTCTCGGCTCACTGCAAGCTCCGCCTCCCAGGTTCATGCCATTCTCCTGCCTCAGCCTCCTGAGTAGCTGGAACTACAGGCGCCCACCACCACGTCTGGCTAATTTTTTTTTGTATTTTTAGTAGAGTCAGTGTTTCACTGTGTTAGCCAGGATGGTCTTGATCTCCTGACCTCGTGATCCGCCCACCTCGGCCTCCCAAAGTGCTGGGATTACAGGCATGAGCCACCGCGCCCAGCCCTCCCCATTTTCAATGGAGACACAGAACTTTTTATTTTTCTTTTCTTTTCTCTTTTTCTTTTTGAAATGGAGTCTTGCTCTGTTGCCCAGGCTGGAGTGCAGTGGTGTGATCTTGGCTCACTGCAACCTCCACCTCCCAGGTTCAAGCAATTCTCCTGCCTCAGCCACCTGAGTAGCTGGGATTACAGGTTCGTGCCACCATTCCCAGCTAATTTTTGTCTTCTTAGTAGAGATGGGGTTTCACCATGTTGGCCAGGCTAGTCTTGAACTCCTGACCTCAAGTGATTTGCCCACCTCGGCCTCTCAAAGTGCTGGGATTACAGGCGTGAGCCACTGCACCCGGCCATTTTATTTCTCATTCCTCTGTAAGAAGCCCCCGACACAGGCTTCAGGTTAAATGGCAACTGGTCCCCAGCTTCCTTGACCAGGAGACAATAGGGCATGGTGGGGATTTTGGTGAGCTGGAAAACCCAGGCCCTGTCTTACAGCCTGTGAGTCACCAGACCTTACAATTTCAGAGAAGACTGCAATTCCAGAGAAATATGGACTTTGATGTCAAATATCTGTGTTTTTCAATTTGGCAGCCAAGTCAAGAACATCTTTAAACATCATGTAAAGCCATAAAAATTTAACTGTGGCCGGGCAGGTGTCTCATGTTTGTAATCCCAGCACTGTGGGAGGCCAAGGCGAGCGGATCACTTGAGGTCAGGAGTTCAAGACCAGCCTGGCCAACATGGTGAAACCCCACCTCTACTAAAAATACAAAAATTAGCTGGGCATGGTGGTGTGTGCCTGTAATCTCAGCTACTTGGGAGGCTGAGGCAGGAGAATTGCTTGAACCTGGGAGGCGGAGGTTGCAGTGAACCGAGATTGTGCCACTGCACTCCAGCCTGGGTGACAGAGCGAGACTCTCTCTCTCTGTCTCTCTCTTTATCTCCTCTCTCTCTACATATATATATATCTGCAAGCTACATATGTCCTGCAGGCCAGTAGTATGTGAATTGGAAAACAGAGGGCAAGAACCAGGGCTGTCACAGTCACCCCTGTGTCTCCAGGACAATGACAAAATAAAGGAAGGATGAAGGAATGTACTCATTATTTTATTTCCTCTCCCTCCCTCTAGCCATGTTTCTCTCTTCTCTGAGTCCCCAAGTTTTATTACCACCATGTTCCAGCTCAGATGTCACCTCCTCCAGGAAGCACTCTTACCTCCAAGCTGAGTCAGGAGTTCCCTTTGCACTCCCTGACCCAGCACTGCCCACTCTGGGTTTTTACCATCTGGGGACAGGTCTTTCTCTCCCACTGGACTCTGAGCCCCAAGAGGGCAGGGCAGAGCCAGGGCTGTCTTGGTCACAGCCATGTCCCTAGCATTGCCCAACGCTGGTCAGAAAGTAGGTATCAGGGAGTGTCTGGAAGAGTTAATGAGTGAATGAATGAATGAATGAACGAGTGAGCAGAGAAAAAGTGTAGGACTTTAGGACAGAAGCGGGCCTGCGGTACAGGGAAACCAGGTGTGAAAAAAGGAGTCGTTCAGGGGGTGAGAAGTGTGGGATGGGGACTGGGGACCCTAAGAATGTCCAACCCAGTGGGGAGGAGAGAGGCTAGTGGAGGGGTTCAGGGAGTACTGGAGTACCCCCGTCAGCGCTCTGTTACCTCCTAGCTTTGTGACTCTGAATGAAGGACTTCCTTTGGCTCAGTTTCCTCATGGGTATCATACAAGTAGTCAGCTGCCTTCTGGGGCTGTCGGGACCATTAAGTTCAGGATCGATCGTGGAGGAGACAGCACTGAATACTCATCTCCTCTGAGGCTTTGGTGGAGTCATACTCATTCCACGTCCACCCCTACCCCCAACACACACACTCAGAAGGAATGAGAACGGACACAGCTTCCCCCACGGTGGCCCCAAGCTTCCCCCACGGTGGCCCCAAACTGCGTACCTCAGTTTCCCTGAAAGCACAGGCACTACCACAATTACCAAGTTTATTGGATCCATACTTTGGCAGGGGAGGGTAAGCTGTCTGGAGGGTTCAGAGCAGAACACAAAAGAGGCGCTTGTCGCGGAAGGGGTTCTCCGCGGCGGGTACTGGCGTCACCAGCGGGTCATCTTTGGCATGCGTTTCGCAGAAAGCCAGGAGTTCCGCTGCTGCCTGCGACACCTTCGAGCACCCGGGTGGAGATGTCACCGCCCTGCTCGGCTCCTCAGAACCGCCCACTTAGGCCCCGCCTCTTGCCCAGTCCCCTCCTCCCACTCTGCCCCGTCTCATACAGGCCCCGCCCCCTGTCCTACCCCTCCCCTCGTCCTGGCCCCTCCCCTGTCCTGCACCCTCCTCGTCTTGGCCCCTCCTCCTGTCCTGCCCCGCCCCTCGACCTGGCCCCTCCTCCTGCCCTGCCCCGCCCCTTGCCCAGCCCTCTTCCCAGGTGCATCCTTGCACTATGGCTCCCGGCCGACACAGCCCGGGACAGACCGCAGGCCCAGAATCCCCGCCCTGCTCCCTACCCTGACCCAGCACCTTCATGCGGTCGATGTTCACTTCCAGCTTCAGCTGTTCCACCGTCTTGCGGGCCTCGGCAATCTTGGCCATGTTGTTGGACATGGTTGCGGCGGGGAAGGGGTTAAAAGACGCGCGGAAGTTGAGGCTGTGGGAGTAGGTTAGGATACGTTTGGGTCCCGAGGCGGGGGTGAGGAGACGGACCCAGTAACAGGTGCGAGGGTGGAAGGGCGCGCGAATGCGGTGGCCAGGGGCTGGTGGAGGGAGGGACAGATGAGGGGGACAGGAACAAGAGGAGTGATGCAGGGGTGCACGGATGGAGGTACCTAAGGCAGGTGGGGAGAGAACAGGGAGGGACGAGGGAGGGAAGGAGGGGCGCACAGATGGGAGGCTGAGACAGAAGGACAGGGCCACAGGTGCTGGATCAGAATCCAGGTGTCCTCACCCCCCGGGGGCAGAGCGAGAGCCAGGAGGGGGGCCCCTCCCCAGGCCAATTAGCAGTGGCTCCAGGGAGAACTGGGAATTAAGATCGCGGCGGGAGGGGCACAGAGGGGGACTCATTAGGGCCTTGGCAGCAGCTGCCCCCTCCGCCCCCCTCAGGGAGCCCCCCCACTCCAGCCCTGGCCACCTCAAAGGCTCCTCTGCTCATTAGCAGCCAGGGGAGAGGGTTGGGGGAGCCCAACCGAGGAGAGGCCTATCGGATGGACAGAGGGACAACGGGGCGCGCAGAGACAGAGACAAAGTAATGGAGGGAGAGACTGAGGCACTGGAGAAATGAAGAAACGGGGAGGGATAGAGAGAGGGAGAGACTGGGGAAGGAATGAAGTGATGGAGGAGAAAATAGAGGGACAAATGAAGGGGGGAGCAAGGAACAGGGTGATACAAGGCTACTGGCACCGAGGGGACAAAGGGACCGAGGGGACAGAGCAGGGGAGGTGGAGGAAGGGGGTGTGGGGTGGGAGAGAATGGGGACATGAAGGGAGAGGGTGTGGGGTGGGAAAGGATGGAGATGGACGGATGGGGTGGGAGAGGATGGGGTGATGGAGGGAGGAGGTGTGGGGTGGAAGAGGATGGAGAGATGGAGGGAGGCGGTGTGAGATGGGAGAGAATGGAGGAGACGGACGGATGGGGTGGGAGAGGATGGGGTGATGGAAGGAGGAGATGTGGTGTGGGGTGGGAGAGGATAGGGGTGATGGAGGGAGAGAGAAAGGAGAGAGAAGGGGAAATGGAGGAAGGGGGGATGGAGGAAAGAGCAGAGAGACACCAAGGGATAAAGGGACAGAGACGGGGAGATAGAGGGACAGAGGCAAGAAGGGAAGGAAAGAGAGGGAGATGGAGGGGTTGGGGAGAGATGGAACCATAAAGTGGGAGAGAGGAACAAAGCGAGAGACAGGCTGATGAAGACGTACAAGAATTCATTCACTCACTCATTCACTCATTCATTCAATCATTCTCAGGCGAAGAGACGGTGGCCACGGAGCAGGCAAACGGACCAGCTGTGGGGCCGGGACCGGAGCTTCCTACCTGTTGCTGCTCTGGGCCGGGCTGGCGGCGGTGATAGAGGCTGGGAGGCAGCGTCTAGGTCCCTCCGGCCCGCCCCGCCCCCTCCCCTGGGGCGCAGGCCCTACGGACCCGCCTCCTCCCGGAGCCACCGTCCCTGCCGCCCTGCCGCCTTGGGGCTGCCTCTCTGGGCCCTCTCTCTTGTCTGTCAGTCCTATCTTTGTCCCTCTCCCTGTGTCTCTGCCGCTGCTGTCCTCTTGTGGGACTCTGTGCCTCTCTCACACTCACTAGAAAAGACAGTCTGTCTAGGTGGGTCTCGGGCCTCGCTGCATTTAATCCACAGTCACACACACCTCTCCAGTGTGTCCCACAGAGCCTCTCACTCAGCCACACTCGCCACCTCAGTGTCACCCCCCAGCCTCATGTTCACTGTCCCTCACACAGACACAAACTGTCTTGCCCTGTCACATGGCAGCACCACACAACCTCACGAATGACCTTGCTCAACACAACCTCACACGGTCGCCCCAAATGCCACACACAGCCACCACCAATGGCAGCCCCAAGGGCTACACAGTCAGATAAATTATCTCAGAGCCCCAAACGTACCAGCAGTTTGCCACAGTGTCATATATAATGTCTCCAAATGTCACACACATTTGCATGCCTTTTTTTTTTTTTTTTTTGAGACTGAGTCTCACTCTGTTGTCCAGGCTGGAGTGCCATGGCGTGATCTCGGCTCACTGCAACCTCCACCTCCTGGGTTCAAGCCATTTTCCTGCCTCAGCCTCCTGAGCAGCTGGGATTGCAGGAGTCTGCCACCACTCCCGGCTAATTTTTGCATTTTTTATAGAGACAGGGTCTCACAATGTTGGCCAGGCTGGTCTCGAACTCCTGACCTCAGGTCATCCACCCGCCTCGGCCACCCAAAGTACTGGGATTACAGGTGTGAGCCACTGCGCCTGGCCTTGCATGCCATTTAAACTTCTCTCTCAGTTTCACACCCTGTCCCAGTCTCACACTTTCTGTGTCTCACAGTGCCATGCAGTTACCCATGCAGCCTGTCAAGTACACACTGTTTGATAGTATTTCATAGTAACACCCGGTTGCCTGTCCAGTGACACCCATGGAAGGCCACACACATTCTCACACAGTCTCCTGGTGTCACAGGCATCTGACACATTCCCTCCATACACAGTCTGTCCCTGTCACACACACGCGCCCATCTCCTGGTGTCTTACCTAGCTACCCACGATGGCTCAGTGTCTCACAGAGTCCCACACAATCTCGCAGCGTTTCACACACTCGCTCCCGCCTCTCCATCATCTCTTGCCTTCTACACACAAGGCCTCCCTCACACTCTCGCTTCCGAGTGCCCTGCACAGCTGCACACTCGCACGCACTGTCACAACGCTGCCATCTCTCACGAGCTCAGTGTCACACATAGTCATACAGTTTTGTTTTGTTTTTTGAGACAGGGTCTCTCTCTGTCACCCAGGCAGGAGTGCAGTGGCGTGATCTTAGCTCACTGCAGCCCCAGGCTCAAGCGATCCTCTCACCTCAGCCTCCGAGTAGCTGGGACCACAGAGGTGCATAACCACACCTGGCGAATTTCTTTTATTTTTTTTTTTTTCGGTAGAGACGGTGTGTGGAGGGGTCTCCCTATGTGGCTCAGGCTGGTCTCAAAGTCCTGGCCTCAAGGGATCCTCCCACCTCGGCCCCCCAAAGTGCTGGGATTGCAGCAATGTGCCCGGATCATGCACTTTTTCACAAGCCACACACAGTGTGGCCGACAAAGACCGTCTGACGCTCACTCCGTCTGTCCCACCTCATGAGAGGCCTTCTGTGTGCCTCTCATGATACCTGTCCACGCCACCTCTCAGTGTACGCCAGTCATCAGCCTCACTCCCTCTCACACAGAATCTGCTTGTGTGACACACACAGCACCATATGCTCACCATGTTGCACACAGCCACACACACTGCCCCCTCTCACACACCGTCACACACAATCTCTCACTCCCACATACGGTCTCTCAATGTCCCATACAGAGCCCCAAAGAGTGTCTCTCCCACACCCGATCACACACAACCTTTCATCAGCACACACAGTCACCCACAATCTCTCAGCATCACCAGTAATTTTACAGTGTCACTGTCAGCGACATGTCATCTCTGACATATGCAGTCCCACTCAGTCTCTCCTTGTCGCACATAATCTCACATCAATCAGTCACACACAGACTCCCAGCACCACACACCATCTCACCAATACACCACGGCAGTACACACTCATGGTGTCCTAGTTCTGGCGTCACACACCATCTCCCAGCAGTACACCCTCACACAGTGTCCTGGCGTCGCACACCATCTCACAGCAGTATATACAAATCTCCTGGAGTCACACACCATCACGGCAGTACACACTCGCACACTCTCCAGATGTCGAACGCCATCTCCCGGCAGTCCACACTCACACTCCTCACACAGCAACCGCCTAAAGCCGCATACCATCTCACAGCAGTATATACAAATTTGAGTCATTACCACACCATCACGGCAGTACACACTCGCACACTCTCCAGATGTCGAACGCCATCTCCCGGCAGTCCACACTCACACAGTTTCCTGCCATTGCACACCATCTCCCCAGCAGTCCACACATTCACAGTGTCCTGGCAATGCATACCATCTCACAGCAGTACACACTCTGCAGATCTCCTGGAGTCACACACCATCACGGCAGTGCACACTCACACACTCCCCCAGATGTCGAACGCCATCTCCTGGCAGTCCACACTCACACAGTTTCCTGCCATTGCACACCATCTCCCGGCAGTCCACATTCACAGTGTCCTGGCATCGCACACCATCTCACAGCAGGCCACACTCGCAGATTCTGGAGTCAGTCACACACCATCACGGCAGTGCACACTCACACACTCTCCAGATGTCGCACGCCGTCTCCCGGCAGTCCACACTCACACAGCCTCCAGGTGTCACACGCCATTTCCCGGTGTCACCGCGAACACCAGCGTCCCCCGCTCCCCAGCACTCCCCTTTCGGCGCTCACACGCAGCCCCTGCCGGCCACATGAGGGCGCGCGCAGCACGCCCAGGCGCCCACCCTGCCCCGCGAGACCACAGGAGGAGGTGGCCACAGGGAGGAGGGCCCGGCGGGAGATGAAGGGGAGACTCGGGACCAGAGGAAGCACGGCAGGGAGCCAGGGAGCGGAGGGAGAGGACAGGAAATGGACGCTGAGAAATTCACAGACAGGGGAGGGAGATGCAGGGAGAGTCAGAGAGACGCAGGGGGCTGTAGGGACACAGATTAAGAGAGGGAGCGAGCTAGGGACTCAGAGAGGCAGAGACGGGGAGGGCGCTGCAGAGAGAGAGACACGAGAGGCAGAGACCGACAGGACACAGAGAGACAGCGGGTAGGAGAGAGACACCCAAGCCGAAACGCAGAGTCAGAGACAGGGACGAAGACATAGACACACAGAGATGGAGGCAGAGGCGGCCAGAGAGACAAAGAGATGCGCAGAGGGCGCCTTCCAGTGGGGACCCAACGACGGAGGCGGGGCCTGCAGAGGCGCGACCGAAGGGGAGGGGTCCGGGGCGGGGTTTCTAAGGGGCGTGTCCCTCGGTGTACCTGGGGGTGTGTCCCGATGGATGGGGCTTGGGGTTCCTTCTGGACCTGGACAAGGCGGGAGCCCTAGGAAGAGGTGAAGGTGGGGAGGAGCGTCTTTACTGTGGTCAGCCCACCCTAACTCGGTTTTCACCGCCTGGACAGGGAAGGGAGACTGGCGGGAAGGGGACCCCGACCCGAGTCCCTGGTAGAGATTTGGGTCTCGGACCCTAGCTCCCCTCCCCCCTCCCCTTGCGGGCTCAACGGGGCCAGATAGAGGAGAGAAATCAAGCCCACATCTGGAAAGCATCAGGCGCGCCGGACGTGCCAGGGCCCCAGGCCCGGCTGCGGAAGAGGGGAGGGGAGCCAAGGCACTCCCCGCCCCGCCATCGGGGTCCGCCGGCGCCGAGGAGGGGCCTGGGCGTGTGCCGAGCCTCTGCGCCTCTCGCAGCTGGTTTCCATCAGCAGTCTGGCCTGGGTAGCCCCCGAGGAGGAAACCCAGCTCAGAGCGAGGGAAGACAGGGTGACGATCCAGTCTTCCCTCCTGCTCCTCCACCGCGGCCAGAAGCTGGGGGCTGGGGAAGACGGACAGACAGACACTGCCTGCCGCGAGCGCAGCCTCCGTTCCTCTCCCGAGCCGCAGCAGATGACCTCAGTCCCTGCCCTGTGCCCCAGCCTCATGACAACTTAGCGCTTGAAGGCATTACGGTCCCCCTTTTTTGGAGGAGGATGAAACTGAGGCCCTGGATTCGGATTCCGTTCTGAGGTTATTCAAGAAATCATGAACAAATGGCAAGAGTGAATTCCAGAATCCAATACCCAACCGCCTGGGCGTTTAGAAGGTCTCTCAAACTCAACGCATCCAAAACTGAGCTGATTCCATCGACCACATTCGCTCTTACTTCAATCTTACCCATCTCAAGTGATGATAAATCTTTGAATTTTTGTTGTTGTTTTGAAACAGGGTCTTGCCTGTTGCCCAGGCTGGAGCGCAGTGGTGCAATCATAGTTCACTGCAGCCTGAACTCCTGGGCTCAAGTGATCCTCCTGCCTCAGCCTCCCCAGTAACTGGGGCTACAGGCGTGCACAACCACAAACGGCTTTTTTTTTTTTTTTTTTTTTCCAGACAGAGTCTCACTCTGTCATCCATGCTGGTGTACAGTGGCGCAATCTTGTCTCACTGCAACCTCCGCCTCCCAAGCTCAAGCAATTCTCATGCCTCAGCCTCCTGAGTAGCTGGGATTACAGGCATGTGCCACCAACCCAGCTACTTTTTTGTATTTTTACTAGAGACGGGATTTCACTATGATGGCCAGGCTGGTCTCAAACTTTGGCCTCAAGTGATCTACCCGCCTTGGCCTCCCAAAGTGCTAGGATTACAGGCGTGAGCCACTGTGCCCGGCCTAACTTTTTATTTCTTTTAGAGGCAGGGTCTCACTATGTTGCTCAGGCTGGTCTTGAACTGTGAGCCACCGCACCCGGACTGGGGTCATCCTTGACTCCCCTCCTTCTCTCACACTCCATGAGTCACCCATCAAGACATCCTGTTAGCTCTATCTTCAAAGCAACTCCAGAATCCAATCCCTCTCACTTCCTCTGCTGTCCCCACTTGGGTCCAGACACCGTTCCCTCTTGCTTGGACTATTACAGTGACCTCTGCATTGACCTCCTATCTTCTCCCTGTCCCCCTCAGCCTGTTTCCCACAGAGCAGCCAAAAGGACCCTGTTTCAAACTGTCCCCATATAATAGCAAGTGGGTATGTGGAGCAATCTGAACCCTCATATGCTGGTGGGGATGTAAAATGGTGAAGTCCCTTTAGGAAATGACCTGGCAGGCCGGGTGCGGAGGCTCATGCCTGTAATCCCAGCACTTTGGGAGGCCGAGGTGGGCAGATGACTTGAAGTCAGTAGTTCAAGAGCAGCCTGGGCAACATGGTGAAACCCTGTCTCTACTAAAAATGCAAAAATTAGCCGAGCATGGCGGTGCACGCCTGTGATCCCAGCTACTTAGGAGGCTGACGCAGAAGAATCGCTTGAACCTGGCAGGTGAAGGTTGCAGTGAGCCAAGATTGCACCACTGCACTCCAGCCTGAAGGACAGAGCAAGACTGTGTCTCAAAAAAACAAAACAAAACAAAACAGAAACTTGGCAGTTCCTCAAAAGGTTAAACACAGAGTTAACATATGACCCAGCAATTCCACTCCCAGGTGTATACCCAAGAGCAATAAAAACATACAAAACCATATAGAAAAATGTTCACAGAAGCAATTTTCATAATAGCCCAAAGTGGAAACAACACACGTTCATCAACTGATGCATGGACAAATGGAATGTGGTCTATCCAGACAATGGACTATCAATCATTTGTCAATAAAAGGAAATGAAGTACTAATACCTGCTACAACATGGATGAAAGTTGGAAATAGTATGCTGGCTGGGCGCGGTGGCTCACGCCTGTCACCCCAGCACTTTGGGAGGCTGAGGCAGGCAAGTTGCTTGAGCCCAGAAGTTCAAGACTAGCCTGGATAACATGGCAAAACCCTCTCTCTACAAAAAATATCAAAAAAGTAGCCAGGCGTGGCAGCATGTACCTGCAGTCTCAGCTTCCCAGGAGGCTGAGGTGGGAGGATCACCTGAACCCGGGAGGTAGAGGCTGCACAGAGCCGTGATTGCACCACTACTCTCCAACTTGGGCTAAGTGAAAGAAGCCAGTCACTAAAGGTCACATATTGTATGATTCCATTTATATGATATGTCCAGAACTAGCAAATCTATAGAAGGCAAAAGTAGATTACTGGATGCCAGGGGCTGGGAAGGTTGGAGGATGGCAGCTGTGGGGCAGGGTTTCTTTAGGTGGTGATGGAAATGTTTTAGAATTCATTGTGGTGATATTTGCACAACTCTGTGAATATACTAAAATACTTTTTTTTTCTTTTTTTTGAGATTGAGTATTGCTCCGTCGCCCAGGCTGAAGTGTAGTAGCGCGATCTTGGCTCACTGCAACCTCCGCCTCCCGAGTTCAAGCGAATCTCCCACCTCAGCCTCCTGAGTAGCTGAGACTACAGGTGTGCACCACCACGCCCAGCTAATTTTTTTTGTATTTTTAGTAGAGATGGGGCTTCACCACGTTGGCCAGGCTGGTCTTGAACCCCTGACCTCAAATGATCTGCCCACCTCAGCCTCCCAAAGTGCTGGGATTCCAGGCGTGAGCCACCAAGCCTGGCCACTAAAATACTGAATGTCTTTTATATTCAATATATTAAAAACCATTGAACTGTATACTTTACATGGGTAAATTTTATGGTAGGTGAATATATTTCAATACAGCTATTAACCCTCCCCCGCACCCCCCCAAAAAAAAACTTTAAAAACTAAGTCTTTTTTATGCTCAGAATTCTCCCATGGGTGCCAGGAAGTAAAAACCAAAATTCCCACCATGGCCCATGAAGCCCCCACGATGTGACAGTCCCTACCTCCCCTCCTTTTCACCTCCCCACTCCAGCTGGCCTCCTTGCTGTTTTGTCAACAGGTCTCTGTTCAAATGTTATCTTCTCAATTAGACTTTTTTTTTTTTTTTTTAATACAGAGTCTCGCTCTGTCACCCAGGCTGGAGTGCAATGGCGCGATCTCGGCTCACTGCAACCTCCGCCTCCTGAGCACAAGCAATTATCCTGCCTCAGCCTCCCAAGTAGCTGGGACAACAGGCACATGCCACCACGCCTGGCTAACTTTTGTATTTTTAGTAGAGATAGAGTTTCCCCATGTTGGCCAGGGTGGTCTCAAACTCCTGACCTCAGGTGATTTACCTGCCTTGGCCTCCCAAAGTGCTGGGATTATAGGCGTAAGCCACTATCTTCTCAATTAGACCATTCTTGATCACTCTACTTAAAATTACACGCTCCCTTGGCTGGGCACACTGGCTCATGCCTGTAATCCCAACACTTTGGGAGGCTTAGGCAGGAGGATTGCTTGAGACTAGGAGTTGGAGACCAGCCTGGGCAACATGGCGAGACCCTGTCTCTACAAAAAAATTAAAAATTAGTCATGCATGGTGGTGTGTGCCTGTAGTCCAAGATACTCGGGAGGCTGAAGCAGAAGGATCCCTGTAACCCAGGAGGTCAAGGTTGTAGTGAGCCATGGTTATGCCACTGCACTCCAGCCTGGGTGACAAAGTGAGACCGTATCTCCAAAAATAATAAATAAAATTACAAACTCCCCTGCTTCGCCACCCCACCCAATCCCCTCATATCTCTGCTCAATTTTTCCCTGTAGTCATCACCTTTAACAAACTATAGAATGTATATATTATGGTACCACCACCACCACCCCCGCCCCCAGCTTCCCTCCCTGTGACCCATTCCTGGTGTAACCTTGTTAAGATCATGGATCCAGCAAACAGACCACGTAGGGCACTAAGGCCATGAACTCTGAAAATAGTCTGCCTGAACGTGAGTCCTGGCTTGGCCACCTATAAGCTTCAGATACATTTTTGTTTGTTTGTTTTTGAGATGGAGTTTTGCTCTTGTCACCCAGGCTGCAGTCCAGTGGCACGATCTCGGCTCACTACAACCTCTGCCTCCCAGGTTCAAGGGATTCCCCTGCCTCAGCCTCCCAAGTAACTGGGATTACAGGTGCCCACCACCACACCCAGCTAATTTTTAAATTATTAGTGGAGATGGGGTTTCACCACGTTGGCCAGGCTGGTCTCGAATTCCTGACCTCGTGAGACGTGCCTTTCACCTTCCACCATGATTGTGAGCCCGACCCCCTCCGCCAGCCACATGGAACTGTGAGTCTATGAAGCCTCTTTTTCTTTATAAATTACCCAGTCTCAGGTTATGCCTTTATCAGCAGCATGAAAACAGAACTAATACAGGTGGAAAAGATGAAATGAGTCAATGTGTGTAAAGTGGTGGGAATAGAGTCCAGCATGCCATAAGTGCTCAAATAAGTGTTAGCTGTTATTTTTTGTAAGCACTAAAATCTTAAAAGCCCATCCATATTGACTTCAACCATTTCGGTCACTAAGTGACCTGTGTAGCCCTAGACGAGTCTCTTCTCCTTTCTGACTTCCATTGCCCGTTTTATGCAATGAAGTTGGAGTAAAGGTTCCCAAGGGCCTGCCAAGCAATAGCTTTTCGTGGAAAACTTTTAAAAATAACTTTTATTCATTATTATTCTAACTAAAACATAGGTTTATCCCTTACCCTACCCCCACCATAGAAGATCCGTAGGGCAGGGGTTTGCTTTCTGTTTGGTCCCCTGCTCTAACCCCAGTGCCTGGCTGGGCCCTGAAGATACAGATGAACACAGCAGGCCTGGTCCCTGTCCTTTCCGAGCTCAAAGGGAGGTAGATCTACCCATGTAGACTCAAAGGTCAAAGCAGCAACAAACACCCATCCTTCTGACTGTGGAATCAGGTGGGGGCTGGGTCCTAGCCCTGGATTCCCCTTGCTATGTGACCAGGGCAAGTAACGGCCCCTCTCTAAGCCTCCATTTACCCACCTAAGAACTCAGTATAATTTTACATACCCAATAAAAAAACAGGACGAGCACAGTGGTTCATGCCTGAAATTCTAACACTTTGGGTGGCCAAGGTGCAAGGATTGCTTGAAGCCAAGAATTCAAGGCTAGCCTGGGCAACATAGTGAGAGTTCTTCTCTACAAAAAATGGGAAAATTAGCCAGGCATTGTGGTGGACACCTGTAGTCCCAGCTGCTTGCGGGGGTTGAGGTGGGAGGATTGCTAAAGCCCAGGATTTCGAGGCTGCAGTGAGCTATACCACTGCACTACAGTCTGGGTGACAGATCAGGACCCTGTCTCAAAAATAACAATAAAAAATAAGAAGGAAGGAAGGAAGAAAGGAAGGAAGGAAAAAGGCAATTCACATAAGAGGAAATACAAGAGCCAATAAGCATACAAAACTATGTGCTACATCAAGGAAAAGGGAGGAAATGTGCTAATTAAAACAGAACACAGTTTCTCCCCATAAGATTTGCAAAATGAAAATGATCAATAGCATCTATCGTTTGGTGAAGGGGTAGAAAACAGACATCTGAAAAACTGCTGTTAGAAATGTCAGTTGGGGGCAGTGCTAATGGAAGGAAGTGTGGCAGTTTCCATTAAAAGTTCTTACATGGGCATTACTGTTAATGACCAAGCAACTCTATTTCTAGGAATAGGTCCTACAAAAATACACACAGATACGCCCAAAGAGGCAAATACAAGGATATCACTGTAGCAAGATTCACAATATCAAAATAATTGGAGAGCTGAAATATAGGGTTAGATTATGAGAATCCCCATAATGGAGGGAAGCTGGGGGGGGGGGGGGGGGGGGGGGTGGTACTATAATATATACATTCTATAGTTTGCTAAAGGTGATGACTACAGGGAAAAATTGAGCAGAGATATGAGGGGATTGGGTGGGGTGGCGAAGCAGGGGAGTTTGTAATTTTATTTATTATTTTTTCTTTTTCTTTTTTTTGAGATGGAGTCTCACTCTGTCACCCAGGCTGGAGTGCAGTGCTGCGATCTCAGCTCACTACAACCTACATGTCCCAGGTTCAACGATTCTTCTGCCTCAGCCTTCTGAGTAGCTGGGACTATAGGCACACGCCACCACGCCCGGTTAATTTTTGTATTTTTAGTAGAGACAGGGTTTTGCCATGTTGGCCAGGCTGGTCTCGATCTCCTGACCTCAGGTGATTCACCTGCCTCGGCCTCCCAGGGTGCTGGGATTACAGGTGTGAGCCACTTCGCCTAGCCATAATAGTCTTATATGCACCTATCAATAATAATATAGTGATAGGATAATGTTACCTAAATTTAGATGAAATGAGCCAGACATGGAGGCTCACATCTGTAATCCTAACATTTTGGGAGGCCAAGGCAGGAGGATCACTTCAGCCTACGAGTTCAAGACCAGCCTGGGCAACATAAGGAGACCCCATCTCTACAAAAAGTTTAAAAACAGCTGGGCAGGGTGGTAAGTACCTGTGGTCCCAGCTACTCAGGAGGCTGAAGTGGGAGGATTGTTCGAGCCTGAGGGGTTGATGCTGCAGTGAGTCACAATCACACCACTGCTCTCCAGCCTGGGTAATAGAGCAAGACCCCATCTCAAAAAATAAAAGAAAAAATAAGTAGATTTAGACAAAATGGACAAATTCTTAGATGAATAGGACCTAGCAAAACTGACGCAAGAAAAAATAGAAAACCTAAATAGTACTATAACTATCAAAGAAATTCAATCCTTAATTTAAACCCTCCCCATAAAGAAATCTCCAGGCACAGATGATTTCACACAAAGTGATAAACACTGCATACATATAGTTCAATTTATGTAAATATATAATTTCACACATATATTACATATATAGCTATATGTATATTCATACATATATATTTATATAGTTATTTAGATTCATATATGTGTGCAAACACATAAAGAAACATGGGAGGATGCACATCAAACTGCTGATTATGATGACTGTGAGAGAGGGGATTTAGGGACTGTCTGTTTCCTATTCTGTTCCCATTTTTGGGAAACCATATTTTTTGTTTGTTTTTTGAGACAGTCTTGCTTGTCATCCAGGCTGGCATGCAGTGGCATAATCATGGCTCACTGCAGCCTAGGCCTCCCAGTCTCAAGTGATTCTCCCACCTCAGTCTCCCAAGTAGTTGGGACTACACGAATGACCTACCATGCCTGGCTAATTTTTGTATTTTCTGTAGAGATGGGGTTTTACCATGTTGCCCAAGCTGGTCTTGAACTCCTGGGCTCAATCGATCCCCCTACCTCTGCCTCCCAAAGTGCTGGGATTACAAGCATGAGCCGTCATATCCTGCCTGAAATCATATTTATGACCAAACATAACCCAATCAAAGGTCAGATTCCTTGATGTAAAATAGCCAATGGTAGGAAGATGATGCTGAGATTCACCCTGGGGCCTCCCTGGAAACTGCCATATCCACAGCAAACAGAAGTTGCTCAATAAATGTTAATCCAAAGGAAAAACAGCATTTCTCCCACTTAATCATTCAATGAGAGTCCACCATATATGTAACACTGTGCATTTATTTACAAAGAGGTTAGAGAAACACACAGAATCTGGCCCCCCTTTGCACTGGGGAGTCACCATCGTCATAATAAATACAGTAATTTTAAAAAAGAAAAAAAAATACTAGATTGGAACAGCTGAGGGTCATCAGGCTTCCCCCATTCCCTCTCACAGGGAGTGCGGGGTATGAGATAGAAACCATCTTCCTTCCCCTCTTCTACCTCCGAATCCTCCATAATTGTCCAGGGATCGAGGTGAAAGAGTCCTTCTTTCCAGGTGTTGCCAACCCCTACTTGACCCTCAAAACCCCCAAATCAGTGCTCCTTCCCTTCCCAGGGCACTCTGCAGGAACCACCTGAGTCAGACACAGAGTCTCTGACCAGGGTGCCAAGGGGATATCTTAAGGGTCCAGGGACATGGAGGGGGCACTTTGTGAATGAGAGGGGGCCATAGCTGGGCAAGGAAAGGAGGAATGAGAGGGCTCATCAGGAATGAGAGAGAGAGTGGTGAAGGGGAACAAACAGACGAGGCTTCTAAACTAAAACGGGGAAATTCAAACCAAATTACCCCTTTTGCATACATGGACACTCACTGTACAGATGAGAAAAGTGACGCCCAGAGAAGGGGAACTGTCTTGCCCAAGGACTTCCAAGCTAGAAGCTGAACTGGGTCAAACAGGGCTCCTCCCCATTCCTCTCGCTAGTGGTAGGGGAGCCTTTTCAACCAAGACTGCTAGGAGTGGGGAGAGTGTGGGGGGTCTTTGGAAGCAGAGAAAACGATGGTCTTTGGAAGGTAGATGTGGAAGGGTCAGTGGTTGAGAGTGTGGAGGTGCAGAGGCCATGAAGGGGGAGCCCAAGCAAATCCCCAAACTCACACTGTAGTCATGACCTTGAGAGAACCCGAACGGAAACGCAGTATCTTTTTCTTGAGCGCGTGGGAAGCCTTGATCTTCACGAAGACTTTGGCGGGGCCGGCTGGCGCCCCTGCACCTGCTCCGCCCCCGGGCCCGGAGGCCGCAGTGGCCGCCACCAGCTGCTGCGGCCACACGAGGCCACCGCTGCCGTCTGAGTCGCTGGAGGCAGAGCTGAAGGCAGGTGACTCTCCCTCGCTGGCGCTCGATTCGCTCTCCCCGTAACCCCCGCCGACGCCTCCCGGAGGCCCCCGGCGTCCCAGGGGCCCCAGGCGCCCGGCCGAGCACTCCGAGTCGCTGCCCGCGCAGCCGTAGAGCAGACGACGCTGGGGAGCTGACGGGGACGGGCCGGGGCCGGGAACACGCGCCGCCGGGGCTCGGGGCCGCACGCGGCGCCCATCAGCAGCGTCGATCTCCGCAGTGGAGCGCCAGCGACGGCAGGACCCTGCGGCCTGGGCCGCCAGCGTGGGCGCTGGGCCGCGGCGTGGCCGTGGAGGCCGAGGCTCTTCCCGCTCCGCCGTGGGGTACTTGGGGGGCCCCGACGGGACCGCGGAGGCGCGGCCCAGCAGGCTGGTCTCGGACTGAGAGCGCGAGGCCTTGCGGGCCCTGGGCGAGCCCCGGCGGCCCGAGGCCTCGGTCATGCGTCCACGGCGGCCGGCGGCCCGGGGACGCTCCCGGGGCGGTGACTGCTCCACGCTGCGGCCGCGGGTCAGTGGCGGTGGTTTGCGGCGGGCGGCGCGACCGGGGAGGCCTCGGGTGGCCGCCTGGGCGCCCGGGATGTACTGCGCCTTCACCAAGCGGCCCTCGGCCGGGCTGTCGGGGGGCGAGGGGGCAGGGGGAGGTGCAGCCGGCTCGGGTGCAGCCTCCGACTCCCACGACGACGCCCAGGCGCGGCTCAAGGGGGCAGGGCTGGTGGGGTGGCCCCCGACGCGCTCCACCGAAGGCTCCCGCGCGGGCCGCGCGCTGCCGGGGGGCGGAGACGCGTCGGGCGGCCGCTGACGCACGCTGTTCTGGCGCCGCAGGCCGCCGTCCGCGCCCCCGGGACTGGTCCGGGGCTGGCCCGCCCCCCGGCGGCGGCGCCTGCGCAGGAGCGCCGAGATGTAGCCGTCCAGGGGCCGCCCTGCGCCCCCCGCGTCGGACGAGTCGGTGGGAGGGCGGCTGCAGGGTCGCGGGCTGCGCATCGCCACGGCGTGCAGGGGGCTGGGCGTCAGAAAGGGCCCGGCGCGGGCCCGCCGCTCCGCCGAGGAGCAGGCCTCCGGGCCGGCGGACCCGCCTGCCGTCGGGTAGGGCGCTGAGAAGGACCGCGGCACTGCTGTCCGCGCGCCCACCACCTCCGGAGCGCTGGGACTGGCGTCTCCTAGGGAAGGAAGGTCAAAAGAAAAAAAAAAAAGGAAGAGAGTGGAGGGGCTCTCAAAGTCCTTTCCCATTTCCCATCCAGCCTGGAAGGGGGTGGGGTTGCCTCCCTCCCTTCCATGCCCATCTCAGCAAAAACCCTGCTCTCACACCTTCCTTCCTGTAAAATTCATAATCAAATCTTTACAGGGTCCTACAAGACCCTGCATGACTTATCCAGATACAGATAATGACTCTGCCTCTCCAACTTTTTTTTTTTTTTTTTTTTTTTTTGAGACAGAGTCTCACTCTGTCGCCCAGGCCGGAGTGCAGTGGCCGGATCTCAGCTCACTGCAAGCTCCGCCTCCCGGGCTCACGCCATTCTCCTGCCTCAGCCTCCCGAGTAGCTGGGACTACAGGCGCCCGCCGCCTCGCCCGGCTAGTTTTTTGTATTTTTTAGTAGAGACGGGGTTTCACCGGGTTAGCCAGGATGGTCTCGATTTCCTGAACTCGTGATCCGCCCGTCTCGGCCTCCCAAAGTGCTGGGATTACAGGCTTGAGCCACCGCGCCCGGCTGCCTCTCCAACTCTCACAACATCTTACCCTTTCCTTCCTTCCTTCCTTCCCTCCTTCCTTCCTTCCTACCTTCCTTCCTTCCTTCCCTCCCTCCCTCACTCCCTCCCTCCTTCCTTCCTTCCTTCTCTTTCCTTTCTTTCTTTTTTGACAGGTTCTTGCTTGCTCTGTCACCCAGGCTGGAGTGCAGTGGCGCGATCATAGCTCACTGCAGTCTCCATCACCTGGGCTCAAGGGATCCTGCCGCCTTATCTTCCTGAGCAGCTGGGACTACAAGAACGCACCACCATGCCCTGCTGATTTTTTGGGGGATGGGGTCTCACTGTGTTGCCCAGGCTGGTCTCCAACTCCCAGGCTCAAATAATCCTCCTGCCTCAGCCTCCTAAAGTGCTGGGATTATAGGCATGAGCCACCGGGCTGACCCTTCTCCTCTTATTTATAGGACTCCAGCCACACTGGCCTCCTGAAATCACGCACCAGTCACATTCTGGCCTCAGAGCCTTTGTGCTTCCCATTCCAGATTCCAGATTCCCGGAATGCCCTTCCTCCTGGATATCTGTTAGGTTCACTCCCTCACTTAGTTCAGGACACAACTCAAATGTTACAGTCTCAGTGAAGCCCTCCGTGGCCTTATTTTCTAAAATTGCACTTCCTTCCCCAAACTCAAAGGGACACTTCTGAGCCCCTTTCCCGGGCTTATTTCTTGTCATAGCACATGGCATTATCTCGTACCCTAGATATTTTGCTTATTTATTTATTTTTTTTTTAAGACGAGGTCTCACTTTGTCACCCAGGCTGGAATGCAGTGGCATGATCTCGGCTCACTGCAACCTCTGCCGCCCGGGTTCAAGCAGTTCTCCTGCCTCAACCTCCTGAGTAGCTGGGATTACAGGTGCCCACCACCACGCCCAGCTAATTTTTGTGTTTTTTGTAGGGACGGGGTGTCACCATGTTGGTCAGGCTAGTCTGGATCTCCTGACCTCGTGATCCACCCACCTCGGCCTTCCAAAGTGCTGGGATTACAGGCGTAAGCTACCACGCCCGGCCATTTATCCTGTATTTTATTTATTCCTCCGATAGGCTGGCAGTTTCCTGAGGGCAGGGATTTGCCTGTTTTGTTCATTAGTGTTCATTTTGTTCATTGCTCCTTGAATACTGCTAGATAGCACATAGTGGAGGCTCAAAAACTTACTTGTATGAATGAAAGACAGCAGTTCCTGTTTACCAGTGACTGCCATGCTCCAAATCCAATGCCTTAGAGCAGAGGCTCACTGAATATTCAAAAATATCCCCTTGGGGTGGGCACTATGTGTGTGTGTGTGTGTGTGTGGTTGGCTTTTCATTTTTATTTTTTTGAGGCAGTCTTGCTCTGTCACCCAGGTTGGAGTGCAGTGACACCATCTCAGCTCACTGCAACCTCTGCCTCCCGGGTTCTAGCAATTCTCCTGCCTCAGCCTCACAAGTAGCTAGGACTACAGGCATGTGCCACAATGCCTGGCTATTGAGGCACTGTTATTATCCCATTTTATTTATTTATTTTATTTATTTATTTATAATATTTTTGAGACGGAGTCTCACTCTGTCACCCTGGCTAGAGTGTGGTGGCTCCATCTTGGCTCACTGCAACCTCCACTTCCGGATTCAAGCAATTCTCCAGTCTCAGCCTTCAGAGTATCTGGGACTACGGGCACAGGCCATCATGCCCAGCTAATTTTTATAGTTTTAGTAGAGACAGGGTTTTACCATATTGGTCAGGTTGGTCTCGAACTCCTGACCTCAGGTGATCCACCTGCTTTGACCTCCCAAAGTGTTGGGATTACAGGCAAGAGCCAGTGTGCCCAGCCTATTTATTTATTTATTTTGAGACAGAGTCTTGCTCTGTCACCCAGACTGGAGGGCAGTGGCGCAATCTTGGCTCACTGCAACCTCCACCTCCCAGGTTCAAGTGATCCTCCCACCTCAGCCTCCCAAGTACCTGGAATTACAGGTGTTCGCTACCACGCCCAGCTAATTTTTATATAGACGGGGTTTCACTATGTTGGCCAGGTTGGTCTGGATCTCCTGGCCTCAAGTATCTGCCCACCTACCAAAGTGCTGGGATTACAGGCGTGAACCACCGCACCCAGCCATATTTCATTTTAACAGATGGAAACACAGAGGCCCAGAAATAAGAGACCTGCTCATAATCACGTGAAAAGGAAATGTCGCACCAGGAATTGGAATCCAGGCCCGATTCGGAAGTCTGTGCCCACAACCGCACTCTTACTGTCCTTTCCCTGGTCCCAGGGCCCCACCCTCACCCACCTTACCTAGGGACTTGGGCCTCTCGCTGGCATAGATACCCCGGGGCTCAGAGGGACCTAGGCGACCATAGGAGCTGGATCCAGAGAAGCCACTGTCCCCACAGAAGGTTGAGGGTGGTGAATCTGGACCTCCCGTGGAGCTGGGATCTTCATAGAAGCCTGAATTTCCAAGAGAAAGAGAGAGTTCAGGGGGTTTGGGTGGGAAAACCAGGGCTGGGGAAAGGAGGAGATGGCGTGGGGAGAGACACGGAGGGCCTGAGAAAGAGGGATACAGGGAACATGGAGGCATCCCAGGCAGACCCTACCCCTCTATCCATGCTCACCCGAGCTGCGCCCGCTCTCCTGTTCCAGCCCCCCAGACTCCAGGCTCAGGTCTCCCAGCTGCTGGCCCAGGTCCCAGACGAGCCCAGGCAGGGCCTCCTGAAGGTAGAGGGAGAGAAGGATGGTCAGAAGGCCCCCAGTCCTCTGCCAACTGGTCCCCTATTCCATGAGCTTATGGGCAGAGTTTCACTTTGACAATGAGGCTCTTGCTTCAAAAGGATAAAAGCAGTACCTGAGTCCCAGGAACCCCTCAAGATCTCTGTCCCTTCATCCCCATTAGAAAGTCCTTCTGACTGTCTAACTCCAGTCCTTCGTGCTGCAGCCCCATCTCATTCCCTCTTAGGTGTGATGAGGCCTCAGAAAATCCCCATCTCTTGCCCCCTCTTTACCAGTTGCTCCCCCAATCTGTGCTCAGAACCCCTCAACCCCGATTAGAAGGTCCCTCCTTGAGTCTAACTTGAGGGATTGTTGTAAGGACAGTTTACTACTAAAAGGTGGCATCCGTGACCCCCAGATCCGTTAGTCATAGGTCTGCCTTCTTCTCCAAGTTTTTCTTTTTTTATTTTATTTGTTTGTTTACTTATTTATTTATTTTGAGACAGGGTCTCACTCTGTCGCCCAGGCTGGAGGGCAGTGGCATGATCCCAGCTCACCACAGCCTCTACCTCCTGGCATCAGGCAATCCTCCCACCTCAGCCTCCTGAGTAGCTGGGATTACAGGCGCCCACCACCATGCCCAGATAATTTTTGTGTTTTCAGTAGAGGCGGGGTTTCACCATGTTGCCCAGGCTGGTCTTGAACTCCTGATCTCAGGTGATCCACCCGCCTTGGCCTCCCAAAGTGCCAGGATTACAGGCGTGAGCCACTTCGCCCAGCCTCTCCCTGTCTTTGATCTGTCTTTTCAGCTACACCCATTGCCCCTTATCACCAACAGAAGGTCCTTTTGTGAGTCTTCCTTAAGTCCCTCCTGCTGCAGATTGCCTCTTTCCCCAATATGGATAAAACAGGCTGACCACGACTCATACACCTCTTTGCTCTCCCTTCAGAAAGAACCGCCCAAGCCTCCTAGACAGTCCTGTGAGTCTAGCCTTACTGGTACTGCAGCAGCCATCCCCAGCACCTTCCTTTGCCCCAGAGACCACATCCTCCTTCTGCCTTTGGTCCACTCCCACCAGGAAGCTCCAGTGGGTCTACCGTTCCTCATCGCCATAAGAAATTTCCAGGAGTCAGGCCAGGCCCAGGGGCTCACGCCTGTAATCCCAGCACTTTGGGAGGCTGAGGCGGGCGGATCACATGAGATCTAGAGTTGGAACCAGACTGGCCAATATGGTGAAACCTCGTCTCCACTAAAAAGACAAAAACTAACGGGGCATGGTGGTTTGCACCTGTAGTCCCAGCTACTTGAGAGGCTGAGACGGGAGGATTGCTTGAACACGGAAGGCAGAGGTTGCAGTGAGCCGAGATTGTGCCATTGCACTCCAGCCTGGGCAACAGAGTCAGACTCTGTCTAAAAAAAAAAAGAAAAAAAGGAAAAGAAATTTCCATTAGTCTACCCTGGGTGCTTCTTGCTTCGGGAAAAGAGCACTTCTCGTCAGATGTGAATTAATGAAGGTGAAAACCCTTTTAGGGGAGTGACCGTGACAAGAGGTGGCGTAAGGGCTGAAGCAACACGGACGGGGTCTCCAGGACATTAGGATTTAACCTCATTTTAGAAAAGAGAGGGTCAGAGGCAGAAGAAGCCTCACATGGGTCTGAGTGAGGCTGGGTAGCAGCAGGCAGCCTCAGGCTGACGGCTGACCCTCAGACAAAAGCGGCTTGTCTGGACGGCAGGAGGGAGGGAAGTAGGGAGGAGGGTTTAGGAGGGCAGGCACCCAGCCCTGCCTATTTAGGGCAGAAACACTGGCCGGCTCCCCGGCAGCCACAACCCCCCCAGTCCCAGTCTCTCCAGGGCCCAGCCTCTCCCCTCCCCCGAGAACAGAAGCCCCCATCTGGGCCTGTTTATTCGAGGAAGGTCAACAAATCGTTCTACTTTGGGCTCCTGCCCTGGGCATGTTGAGACGCTCACGGTGAAGTCATCTTTGAGCGGAACTCAAAAAAGCAGCCGAATTGTGCGGCATCAGGAAGTAGCTAAAAAAATCTGTCGGACCGCCCATGTCCCCCATGTCATGTCCCCCACAAATCACTGGCATACTCACTCCCCTCTAGCCACGCCTGGCCTCGCCACCGTCCCTCGAACATACCACGGATGCGCCTACCTCGGGAGAAGGCTTCCCCCACATACTTTCCTTGCTTCATTCAGGTCTTTGGTGACCTGATCTCTTCTCTGACACCTTTCCAAAATAGCTCCCCTGTCATTGTGCACCCTGTTGCCCTGCTTTTCGGTTTTTTTCTACATATCAGTAATGACCTCTTGATTTAAAATTATACATTGGGCCGGGCTCGGTGGCTCACACCTGTAATCCCAGCACATTGGGAGGCCGAGGCAGGGAGGATCACTTGATTTCAGGAGTTCAAGACCAGCCTGACCAACATGGTGAAACCCTGTCTCTACTAAAAATACAAAAAATAGCCGGGTGTGGTGGTGCGCGCCTGTAATCCCAGCTACCCAGGAGGCTGAAGCAGGAGAATTGCTTGAACCAGGGAGGCGGAGGTTGCAGCAAGCCAAGATCACACCACTGCACTCCAGCCTGGGCAACAGTGAGACTTCGTCTCCAAAAACAATTAAAATAAAATAAAATTATACATCAAGGTGTCATTTGTTTGTTGACTCTCTGACTAGAATGTCAGCCCTAGGAATTCAGACATTTCTGTTTTGCTCACAGGTGTACCCCCACCCAGTGCCTAGAACTGTGCCTGGCACACAGTGGGTGCTCAGGAAATACTTAATGGGCTGGGTGTGGTGGCTTATGCCTGTCATTCCAGCACTCTGGGAGTGCCAAGGTGGGAGGATCGCTTGAGGCCAAGAGTTCGAGACCAGCCTAGGCTACATAGTGAGACCCAGTCTCTCTCTCTCCCCATATATATATATATATATATGAAATTTATTTATTTATTAATTTTTCAGACAGAATCTAGCTCTGCCGCCCAGGCTGGAGTGCAGTGGTGCAGCCTCTGCCTCCCAGGTTCAAGTGATTTTTTTTGCCTCAGCCTCCCAAGTAGCTGGGATTACAAGCATGTCCCACCTCACTTGGCTCATTTTTGTATTTTTAGTAGAGACAGGGTTTCATCATGTTGGCCAGGATGGTCTCGAACTCCTGACCACAAGTCATCCGCCCACCTCAGCCTCCCAAAGTGCTGGGATTACATGCGTGAGCCACTGTGCCCGGTATTTTTTATTTTATTTTTGAGACAAGATCTCACTGTCTCACCAGGCTGGACTGCAGTGGCACAATCACGGCTCACTGCAAACTTCACCTCCTGGGCTCAGGTGATCCTACTACCTCAGCCTCCCGAGTAGCTGGGACTACAGGTGCGTGCCACCACGCCCTGCTAGTTTTTGTATATTTTTGTAGAGACAGGGTCTGCCTGTGTTGCACAGGCTTGTCTCAAACTCCTGGGCTCAAGCAGTCCTCCCGCCTTGGTCTCTTGAAGCGCTGGGATTACAGGCATGAGCCACTGTGCACAGCTGTGTATTTTTTAAAAAGAACTATTAGATGAAGGAATGAATGAATACAATGGAATACTATACAGCTGTTAAAATGGAATGAGTCAAATTTCTATATAGAATCATTACCAAGATATAGCATTGAGCAGAAAGAGAAAACTGCAGAATATATATAGGAGTGACTCAGAATTACCTGGAGGGCTTGTGAAAACCCAAATGACTGAGTCCCATTCCCAGAGCTTTTGATTTCAGCCTGCAGTCGGGCCCAAGTGGTTATATGGCTAACAAGTTCCTTGTGATGTGGTACTGCTGGCCAGGGGGCCACACTTTGACTGGCATAGTCTCTGGGACCTCACCCAAGAAACTAGAATTTGTAAAATGCAAAGCTTTGACAAAAGCTCCATATTTTTGGGTATCTAAACAGTTTCTGTTAGGAGATATGTTGGAAGAGGTCTGGGAGGTGACAGTAAGGTGACAATGATGGTGACCTCAGAGGAAAGGTTGGATTTAGGGGCTCCAGGGAGGAATGGGGGGACTGGATGGTAGAAGGAAATGTTTAAGGAGGTATGACTTGGCATCACATTAAGCTCTGCTGCTCCCCAGCTGTGTGACCTTGGATGGGTGGCTTTACCTCTCTGGGCTTCAGTTTCCTTGTCTATAACTGGGCATCATAGCACACCATCTCCTGGAGGTTATTGTGAGGATTAAATGAGTTTCTTTTGACACATAATAAATGCCAGTTTGTATGATTACAGGAAAGCTATGAATTTCTTACAAGGAAAATAGAAAATGTTTCCATTGTTTAATTAAAAATAAATGTAGGAGTCGGGCACAGTGGCTCATGCCTGTAATCCCAACAACTTTTCGAGGCCAAGGTGGGAGGATCACTTGAGGCCAGAAATTCAAGACCAGCCTGGCCAACATGGTGAAAACCCATCTCTACTAAAAATACAAAAATTAGCCAGGGGTGATGGTGCATGCCTGTAATTCCAGCTCCTTGGGAGGTTGAGACAGGAGAATCGCTTGAATCCAGGAGGTGGAGGTTGCAGTGGGCCGAGAATCACCTGAACCTAGGAGGCGGACGTTGCAGTGAGCTGAGATCATGCCATTGCACTCCAGCCTGGGTGACACAGCAAGATTCTGTCTCAATTAACAAATAAAGGCCAGGTACAGTAGCTCACACCTGCAATCCTAGTGCTGTGAGAGGCTGAGGCAGGAGGATTGCTTGAGCCCAGGAGTTGGAGACCAGCCTGAACAACATAGCAAGACCTCATATCTTAAAAAAAAAAAAAAAAAATTAGCCAAGTGTGGTGGCATGCACCTGTAGTCCTAGCTTCTTGAGAGGCCGAGGCAGGAGGACTACTTAAGGCCAGGAGTTAGAGGCTGCAGTGAGCTATGATTGCACCACTGCACTTCAGCCTGAGAGGCTTCGTCTCTAAAAATAAATGAATAAATAAATATATCATTTACAAATACATAAATAAACGTGAAAGGATGGATTTTTTGGTAAGTTCTGCCAAGTCTAATTTTGGTTCTTCCATTACAAGGAAGAGCAGAAATTAAGGAGACAGACAGGAGATGCCTCATTCTCTCCAGCGCCTAGGCACCCCCCAGAAAATATTCCAAGTCTACACCCCTCTATTTGCAAGTCTGGCCTCTTTCCTTCCAGTTGCAAAAGGATGAATCTTTAAAAGATTAGAAAGTCCTTGGCCTGAGTCTGACTCCCTGCCTCCCTACAGTGCCCCTTATCCTTTCTCTGCAGGCTTAATAAGAGTTCGCTTAGGACCCCTGGAGACCCCTTTGCCCAAACTTCCCTTACCTTGTTTCTCCCCTCACGTGCCCCTCATTGGTATCCAATGCCCAGTTATCTCTATTAGGAAGTCCTTCCGCAAGTCTGACTTAAATTCTTCTTGCTGAAAAGGACCTTTTTCCTTCTTGAGAACAAGCAGGACCCAGGGAGCCCCTGTCCTCACCCAGGATTCCTGCCTCTCTTCTCTGCAACACCCCTGATCTTTACCTGGTATTCCCATCATTCCTATTAGAAAGAAATCAAGTCTGGCTTCAGTCTTTCTTGCCTTGAAGGAAGTGTATTCCTGGCAGGGGCTGGGGGTGGGGGGTAAGTCATAAGACAAGGGCTGGGGGATCAGAGGAAGCCCTCACCCGCTCTTCAGAGGGACCCAGGAACCCCCAGCACTAGAGAAGTTTATATTTAGCGCTTCTCTGCTCCTCCTCCTCCCCCCGCCTGCCACCGCCTCCTCCCTGATGCTGGGACAAGCTTTGCCTAGAGACTGGGGGGTGGGGGGGGACAGGCCTCTCCACTACCATCTCATGCCGGGAGGACAGAGGGCTGGGGGGGAGGAGGGGACAGAGGGACCGAGGAGAGGGAGACTGAAGGGCAGAGATGGGGAAGGTGAAAGGTGAAAAGGGGAGAGACCAAGGGCAGAGCGGGAGACGACACAGCTACCCACAGCTACCCTATCCTCATGCCTCGCTTTCTCCTTGTCAGGATGGAAAGCGCCTTCCAAGCCGAGCCAGCTTGGGGTGGGGGGAGCTAGCGAAGGCCCCCACAATCCGTCTCTAACTTTGGGAGGGGGTGGGGCCTCCCACAGCTGTTTCTGTTTCCAGAAAAGAATGTGCAGGGGGGGGGTCCCACTCCTGAGAGGGGGAGGGGCCGGGCGTGCAGCCCCGGGAGTCTGGCTTCAGTCTTCCTCCCCAGTCCCCATCTGGGGAGAGGGCAGTCGAGGTCAGCAGCGGGGAGAGCCCCCTCCACTGCCACCTCGGCTCAGGTTTCCCGAAACGGGAAGCTCTGGCCACACACAGGCTTGGGGATGGGGATCTGCGGTGGAGCCAGGGTGTGCGGGCTGGGGGGAGGGGAAGAGACTGAGCCTGGGACGTCGGGCAAGAAGAGAGCGAGGTGCAGACAGGCAGGAAGGGAAGGCCAAGGAGACAGACGCAGAGGGACACAGAGATCACAGAGACAGAGAGACAGGGTGAAGAAAGAGAAGCAGACACAGAAAGTCACAGGGATGTGGCAGGACGGAGAGAGTGACAGAACCCCGGCATGAGGTCGGGAGACTCAAGGAATGACATAGAAAGGGGAGAGGCATGGGCCTCCTCAAGTCACTCCGGAGACCTCCGTCCATCTTCCACCATGAGAACACCCAGAGTCCAGAAGTCTCCCCCAGGCGCTGCCTCGACCTGCCTCCCCTTGGGTCAAGGAGAGCTGGGGCCAGCTAGGAAGCAGGGGAAGCGTCATCAAAGGGTCAAGAGCCCAGTGGGGGGTCCTCAGGGACTGTGAGCTTTCTCTCAGCAGTGGTCCCTCCCTCTGGAGGCCCTCAGATTCCCCTCCTCCCACCCCGCCCCCTCCAGAGATCTCCAAGCACACCAGGACTTAGGGAAGATGGAGCCCTGGTGGCGGGGCCCAGATAAGGGCATGTTTGGAGCCTGGCTGTGTGACCTTGGGTGAGTCGCTTGCTCTCTCTGAGCCTCAATTTCTCTCTATGTTAAATGGGGACTATCACCCCCTGTTTCCCAAGCTGCAAGAAGACAACGCCTGCAAAGTACCCGGTCCGGGGTTTGACACATACTTGGCGCCCAGAAGGATTTTCTTTGGGGAAGGGGTGTAACGGATGGGGCCTGTTTCTCACGAGGCCCCAGTGGGGGCGATGCAGTTTCCCCTCCCCCGATTTGGGGGCGGGGAGGCCAGGTCCGGCTCGCCGCCGGAACTCCGGGGTCTCCAGCCCCACCCCCTGTCCTTTCTCACTCCCTGCCTACCCGGGTCCCCAACCCCCCACCCCGCCCGGGTGTCTGAGCATCCAACTGAAGCAGACAGACAGACGGGGGTGGAGGGACGGACGGACAGGCGGCCCCTTACCAGCTGCTCCTCCAGGGCTGCTGCGGCCCGGCGCGCCGCCGCCGCATCTTCATCCTCATCAGCGTCCTCCTCGTCCTCGGCCTCGGCGCCCCCCATTCCGGGCTGGGCCAGCCGCAGCGCCTGCTGCACGCGGTACTCCTGCCTCTCCCGGAGCCAGTGTAACTCGCAGAGCCCGGCCAGGCTACCCTCCAGCCAGCCCCGCAGCCGGCCCCGCTCAGGGCTCACCGGGAACGAGAAGGCCCGGATCATGGCTGCGGCCCCCCGCCCCAGCCCGGCCGGGCCCCGCGGCCACCCCTCTCCCGGTCCCACCTCCCCGCCCCAGCAGCCTGCCCGCCCGCTGGCCGGGCTGTCACCGTCTCATCTGCATAGGCGCCCGCCCATTGGGCCGCCCACCCGCGCCTTATCTGCATGGCCACGCCCCCGGCGACCGAGCAACTGCCGCCTATTGGCGAATAACCTCCCCGACGGAGACGCTCGGCCGTGCAACCGCACCGCCCAACACGACGCATGCTCGCAACTGCCTACTCACTCCGCTCGCCACGCCCCCTCCGAGCAACTGCCTCGGGGCCCTGGCCTCGCCCCTCTACGCGTCACAATGAAACAAGCCCGCCCTTGCTTCAATGCCATTGGTCTGTGTCTGGCCGGTCTTGCAGCAGGTTCCACCCTTTTGCGGGCGAGCTCTGGCTACCATTGGACTGTCCGGCGCGAGGGGAAGGGTGATCTATAAATAGGGAATGGGTCCACGTGACAGTTTGGCAGCTGCTCCTATCCCCCCACCCCGCCCAGCCTTCAGCTTCTGAGGCTGCGCAGGGGGAGAAAAGGGTTAGGGGGTCGAGCCCTGACTTCGCCTCCTCTTCCAAGAAGCCTTCCCAGACACTCAGCTGTAAAACCAGACGGACGTCCTCCGATAAAATTGTTTCTACGTAGGGCCGGCTTCACTGGCTTGGAATACGCTTAGAAGGGTCTTCGCGCTTGGTTGAATGTTCTGCAATTGCTGTCTTGAAATTTTTAGTTTTTGAGCATGGGGCCCCTTATTTTCACTTTGCACTAGGCCAAATATGTAGCCGGTCTTGCTGCTAAGAGTCTGAGATCCATTGCATTCCAAATTCTGGAATTATAAGACCCTGGGTGGAAGATTCTATGCTTTGACCAGAAGAGAGTCTAAGCAGCTTTTGTCTCCCAGGTGCTAGGAGGTTGTGTGCTCATCATTCTTCCATTCCAGGGGCCTTTGTTCTACGTTCTAAGGGGCTTTGTTCTCAGCCTTCTATGATGCTCTATTCTCAACGTTCTCTGGTCCTAGGAGTCTGAGCCTGACATTCGTTTCCAAGGTTTCCCGCTGTCTCCAGGCTCCGCGAGCAGGACTGGGGCACCCTCAGGCGGCCAACCTGTGTCACTACGCCGAGCCTGCCTCTACCAACTTCCAAGACCTAGCTCTAATATTCACACTCGTCTCTCAGACAGACCTTGTCTCCCTAAAAGCCAAGGCCCAGAAGATCATACGAGAAATTCCCTCTTTTATGATTTCGCGTGCACGAAGTGGCCTTCTGGTGGTGAGATGGAGAGAAATTGATAGTGGCGACAGACAGCAAAGTCTCCAGGAGCCAGACTTCCTCGGGGTGAGTCACAGATCTGTCACTTTACAACTGTGTGACCTTGGAAAACTTAACCTCTCTGTGCCACCGTTTCTTCATCTGATCACGGGATCATAACACTGGCTGCCTCATAGAGTTGTTCTGAGGATTAAATGAAATGTATCAGGTACTTGGAGCAATGACTTCCATAGATCAACAGCCACAGAAGGGTTTGATAAATACGTTTTAAAACTAATCTAGTAAGTTTCAGGGGAAAAAATGTCTTAAAATTTGGTAGAGACAACCTTTATTCAGTCTTCCTCTTGTTCAAAATAGAAAATTAGTTGGGTGTGGTGGTGCACGCCTGTAACCCCAGCTACTTGGGAAGCTGAGGCGAGAGAATCACTTGAGCCTGGGAGGGCAGAGGTTTCAGAAAGCCATGATCACACCACTGCAATCCAGCCTAGGCAGCAGTGAGATCTTGTCTCAAAAAAAAAAAAAAAAAAAAGGTCGCGGGCCAGGCGTGGTGGCTCACGCCTGTAATCCCGGCATATTGGGAGGCCAAGGCAGGTGGATCACCTGAGATCAGGAGTTCAAGAACAGCCTGGGCAACATGGTGAAACCCCATCTCTACTAAAAATACAAAAATTAGCCAGGCATGGTGGTGGGCGCCTGTAATCCCAGCTACTGGGGAGGCTGAAGCGAGAGAATCTCTTGAACCCAGGAGGTGGAGGTTGCAGTGAGCCGAGATCATACCAATACACTCCAGCCTGGGAGATACAGCCAGACTCTGTCTCAAAAAAAAGGGGGGGGGTTCTCTTACACTGCCCTAATTTTCCAACAATAGGGAGATAATCAAGGATTGATAAGTGTCTGGGGAATGACATCAGTATTAGTTTTCCATCCCTGCTGTATGTACAAGATCAGTTGAGTCATTTGCCGAGTACAATGTTGAATCTGGAGCTGACTTAGGGTTCTGGTCACCAGGCATTTCAAGATGGATATTCCTAGGAAGATAACTAAAAAGAGAATAAGAGAGAAAAAAAATGAAGGTGTGAGACCAGAGAGCAGCAGATGGTGGGAGGATTCCAAGAAGGAGGTGAAGAGACATCCTTGGTTACTGGAGTCCAAAGAGCTGTAGCAATTCTGAAGATTTCCTTTTTGACTTCTTGATGCTTTTATTAATGACGATGCCAAAAGATTTCTGGAGAATCAGCCAGGTGCGGTGGCTCACGTCTGTAATCCCAGCACTTTGGGAGGCCGAGGTGGGCGGATCACCTGAGGTCAGGAGTTCAAGATTAGCCTGGCCAACATGGCAAAACCCCATCTGTATTAAAAATACAAAAATTAGCCAGGCGTGATTGCACACACCTGTAATCCCAGCTACACAGGAGGCAGAGGCAGGAGAATCGTTTGAACCCAGGAGGCGGAGGTTGCAGTGAGCCAAGATCGTGCCACTGCACTCCAGCCTGGGTGACAGAGGGAGAATCCGTCTCAAAAAAAAAAAAGAGAGAGAGAGAAAGAAAGATTTCTGGAGAATCAACAAGCAACAGTTGTTTCTAAACATGGCACACAAACTGGATATGGTGGCATGTGCCTGTAGTCTGAGCTACTCAGGAGGCTGAGGCAGGAGGATCACTTGAGCCTGGGAGGCTGAGGCTGCAGTAAGCCATGACTGCACCATTGCACTCCAGTCTGGATGACAGAGCAAGACCCAATCTTTAAAAAAAAAAAAAAAAAGGTGTGATTACAGAGACTGAGTCCCATGAAGGGGCTGTTAATGAAGTTGCAGAAGCTCATAGACCTTGATCTGTAGACGGTAGGGATAGGAAGAGGTTCCCATGAAAATCGAGTGGTGCATTGGGAGAGGCCTTTGTGGAAGGCGTGTGGGGCACAGTGCTCCATCCAAAGGCTTTGGTGAAGGGGATGGGGCCCTGGGAGAAGTGATTTGTGTTGGGAAAGGGGAATGAAATTGACAATCCTAATTGCAGTTGTAAGACTGAGTAAATACTTCTGCAAAAGTAAGCCAGGGGCATTGTGGATCTTGCAGGCTGGAAGGTAGAATAGGGAGGGGAGATGCATCCTTTGGGAAGAGACAGAAGTCAAAGCAGGAGAATTGTGATCTGAGAGGCATGTAATCAAAGATCAGTTAAAGAGAATGCAAATGAGGCCGGGTGCGGTGGCTCATGCCTGTAATCCCAGCACTTTGGGAGGCAGAGGCAGGTGGATCATTTGAGGTCAGGAGTTCAAGACCAGCCTGGCCAACATGGCGAAACCCCGTCTCTACTAAAAATACAAAAATTAGCTGGGTGTGGTGGTGCACGCCTGTAATCCCAGCTACTTGGGAGGCTGAGGCAGGAGAATTGCTTGAACCTGGCAGGCGGAGGTTGCAGTGAGCTGAGATCATGCCACTGCACTCCAACCTGAGCAACAGAGGGAGGCTCTATCTCAAAAAAATAAAAGAGAGAGAACACAAATGAAAGGCAAAAGTCACATGATGAGAAGCAGGCACGGGAGGACCACAGTGGGTATTAAAATGGAGAATCCTAGCCAGGCTCTGTGACATGCACCTGTAGTACCCAGGAGACAGAGGCAGGAGGATTGTGTAAGCTCATGAGTTCAAGGACAACCTGGGCAACATGGTGAGACCCTGTCTCTAAAATAGTGTGTGTGGGAGGGAATCCTGGAGTTTCTGATTCCGGGAGGAGGCTGTCTCATGATGTCATCTACTTGACCCAAGGTTCTTAGGAGAGCTGTCTACAGATGCAGCCTCGTCTGCTTCCAGGGCTCTTGAAAGAGCCTCCCTCTGAGGTCTCTAATGGCAGTGGATTCCCATTCAGCACAGGTCTTATATCTCTTCATCTCTGAGATATGAACCCAAGGCAAGACAGTCTGGTGTTTGCAATAGTGTAGAGTCCATCCCATCTGAGTTCAAGGTTAGTTTTCCTGCGATGTCTTTTCCAGAAGACTAAATTCCCTGTTTGGAAATTATGAAGAGGCTGTGGTGGAGTATTTGGAGGGAAGGCAGCTTGCACCTGTTAGTGACAAGCATGTGTGTACTTAGTCCTTGATAATATCTGAGAATGTCGACTGTAATAGAGTCCTCAAGGGCCCAATACAAGTAGAATCCTTGTGAGTCTTTGAGTGATTATTTCATAAGAAGATTATTGATGTGTGCTCTGGTAGGGAGAGTAATGGCCCCCCAAAGATGTCTACATCTTTATCCCTGGAACCTGTGAATATAGCACCTTTTATGGAAAAAGGAACTTTTTGTGATTAAGAATCTTGAGATAGGGAGATTTATCTTGGATTATCCCAGTGGATCCAATAGCATCACAGGGTTCCTTATAAGATGGAGGCAGGATCGCTAGAGTCAGAGAAATATGTAAATATAGAAGCAGAGGCCGGGCCAGGCACAGTGGCTCACACCTGTAATCCGAAAGCTTTGGGAGGCTGAGAGGGGAGGATCGCTGGAGGCCAGGACTTTGAGACCAGCCTGGGCAACACATCTCTACAAAAAAAAAAGAAAAGAAAAGAAAGGAAAAAACTTAGCCAGGTGTGGTAGTGCATGCCTATCGTTCCAGCTAGTAGGGAGGCTGAAGCAAGAGGATTGTTTGAGCCCGGGAGTTTGAGGCTGCAGTGAGCTATGATCGTGCTACTACACTCCAGCCTGAGTGAGAGAGCAAGATCCTGTCTCAAAAAAACAAAAAACAAAAAACAAAGGCGTATTAGGGTGCTCCAATTCCCCAATTCCCCAGGCAATCCTTCCTTGCCTCTTCCCAGCTTCTGGTGGCTCACGGCAATCTCTAACATTCTTTGGCTTGTGGCTACGTCATTCCAAGCTCTGCCTTCATCATCACATGCTTCTCCCTGTGTCTTACGTGGCCACCTTCTTATAAAGACACCAGTTGGCCAGGTGCAGTGGCTCACACCTATAATCCCAGCACTTTGGGAGGCCAAGGCGAGTGGATCACCTGAGGTCGGGAGTTTGAGACCAGCCTGACCAACATGGAGAAATCCCGTCTCTACTAAAAATACAAAATTAGCCGGGCGTGGTGGCATATGCCTGTAATCCAGTTACTTGGGAGGCTGAGGCAGGAGAATCACTTGAACCCGGGAGGCGGGATTTGCAGTGAGCCGAGATCGTGCCACTGCACTCTAGCCTGGGCAACAAGAGCAAAACTCCATCTCAAAAAACAACAACAAAAAGACACCAGTCATGTTGCATTAGGGGCCCACCCTACTCCAGTATGACCTCCTTTTAACTGATTACATCTGCAATGACCCTATTTCCAAGTAGGGTCATATTCTGAGGTACTAGAGAGACAAAATTCAACCCAAGACCGGCGCAGAAACCATTGGAGTTGCCTTTTAGTCTTGGATAAAACAAAATAAATAATGGTATAGATGCATGCTGTGTGGATAAGGTTTTGCCTTCAAGGGCAACGTCATGCCCTAAATCTTGTTCTTATGAATTACATAGTTATAATTTGTCCTAGACACTCATTATTTTTTATTTTATTTTATTTTTGAGACAGGGTCTTGCTCTGTTGCCCAGGTGGAGTGCTGTGGTGCAATCTCAGCTCACTGCAGCCTCAACCTGTCAGGCTGAAGCAATCCTCCCACCTCAGCCTCCCGAGTAGCTGGGACTAGAAGTCTGCATCACCACACTCAGCTAAGTTTTTTATTTTTTATTTTTGTAGAGATGGGGTCTCCCTATGTTACCCAGGCTGGTCTCGAACTCCTGGGCTCAAGCGATCCTCCCACCTTGGCCTCCCAAAGTGCTGGGATTACCGACATGAGCCTGTCCTTTATGAGCAAGGGCTTGGGGCAGATTTTTGTTTTTCCTACTTCCTGTATAACTGCAGAAACTCGGGGCACGTGTGGAGTGTGAGTGAGTGAGTGAGCTGCTGGAATGAACTGACCAGACAGGATATCATCTATGCATGGGATTAGAATGGAATTATAGGAGAAAACCAAATCCTTCAAATTAGCATTCAGGATCGGAAAAAAAAGTAACTAGGGGTTTCAACAAACCACTGAGGCATAGCAGTCTACGTATGTTTACTGTTGACTTTCCAGGGGAAAGGGAAACGGGGCTGTGGATCATCAGGTGTGTGAAAGAAGGCAGAGGGTATGTTAGTACATTCAAGTGGGTAGTGTTGGCTGCTCTAGAATAGAGGCCAGTGTAGTGTTTGGATTGGAAACAGCAGGAACTACAGTGTGACTATTTTATTTCCAGCCTTGAGGTATTGGACTTGTGGTATCCTTTAACATTGGGACTCTTATTGTGATTTTTTTTTTTTTTTTTTTTTTTTGAGACAGAGTCTCGCTCTGTCACCCAGGCTGGAGTGGAGTGCAGTGGCGTGATCTCGACTCACTGCAACTTCTGCCTCTCGGGTTCAAGGGATTCTTCTACCTTAGCCTCCTGAGTAGCTGGGATTACAGGTACCTGCCACTATGCCACACTAATTTTTTAATTTGTTTTTAGTGGAGTCAGGGTTTCACCATGTTGGCCAGGCTTGTCTAGAACTCCTGACCTCAGGTGATCTGCTCACCTCAGCCTCCCAAATTACAGGTGTTATGATTGGGATTCTTGGCAGATAGGAGTGTTGTAGGGGATGGAAGTGGATAGTAGGAGGCTCCGAATAATGCGTTGGGGGCCCTAGTGGGCCTCTGGTGTCAGAACACATTAAGGCAGCTTCAAGAAGGGCATGAAAAGTTCTAATTCTATTCCACAACTTGGGGTAATTGGTTAAAAAAAAAAAAAGGGAGCCAGGTGCAGTGGTTCACACCTGTAATCTCAACACTTTGGGAGACCAAGGCGGGAGGATCGCTTGAGGCCAGGACTTTAAGACCAGCCTGGGTGACATAGCAAGATCTTGTCTCTATTTAAACAAAAAAAAATTTTTTTTAATTCTAAAAAAGAAAGGATCTACTTCTACCTTAAGAGGTTTAGCCTCCCAGATGCACCCTATGTTTGTTGAGTTGGGGGCTCAAAGAGAATCAGGAATGCAAGTCACAGATCTTGGCTATGTGGGTCTGAGGGAGAGGTGGATGTTTCGGGAACAGGGTGGTTGGAGTGGTGGGAAGGTTAGTGGACTGGATGAACAAGGGCAGAATTAGGGACTGGGAGACATAAGCCCTCTTGTGAATGTGAAATACTGTGGCTTTGGCTGGGCACGGTGGCTCACACCTGTAATCCCAACACTTTCGGAGGCCAAGGCAGGTGGATCACTTGAGGTCAGGAGTTTGAGACCAGCGTGTCCAACATGGTGAAACCCCGCCTCTACTAAAAATACAAAAATTCGCTGGTTGTGATGGTGTGCACCTGTGATCCCAATTACTTGGGAGGATTAGGCAGGCCAATGGCTTGTATCTGGGAGTTAGAAGTTGCAGTGAGCTGAGATCGCACCACTGCACTCCAGCCTGGGTGACAGAGCGAGACTCCATCTCAAAAAAAAAAAAAAAAAAAAAAAAGAAATATTATTGTTCTACATTGATAGAATATCCCTTTCTAAAGGGATTATTGGAGTAATCTGAGTAAGAAACTTTGCTGGGTAGTAAAGGGCCCAACGAGCCCAAGAGTGGCTTGGACAGGCATAAACCATGTGGCTTTGTGGTCTCATTACCATTATTGTTGTGTACTGAGGTAGGGAGTAGGGACTAATACGTTTATGGCAGAGTGTGTGGCCCCTGTGTCTACAAAAACCCTGGCAGGATGCTCATTAAGGGGGCTGATGGTCATTCCCTGAAAGTTAAGGAATGCTTACAGACACAGAGGAGAAAGTTGGCTGGAAGTGAGTCACTGGAAGACTGAATCTTAGACTCAAATTCCTTTTTACATTTCAAAGCTAAATAGTGTCAAGTCCAATGTCCCTTTTCTTTACAGTATATACAAGTGTCTCTATCAAGATTAGGTTTTGAGGCCGGGTGCAGTGGCCCACACCTGTAATCCCAGCACTTTGAGAGGTGGAGGCAGGAGGATCTCTTAACACCAGGAGTTCAATACCAGCCTGGGCAACATAGTGAGACCCCATCTCTATAACAAAAAACATGCCCAGGCACAGTGGTTCATGCCTGTAATCCCAGCACTTTGGGAGGCCAAGGCGGGCAGATCACTTGAGGTCAGGAGTTCAAGACCAGCCTGGCCAACATGGCAAAACCCCTTCTCTACTAAAAATATAAAACTTAGCCAGGCATGGTGGCATGTGCCTGTAGCCTCAGCTACTTGGGAGGCTGAGGTGGGAAGATCACTTGAACCCAGGATGTTGAGGCTGCAGTGAGCTGTGATCATGCCATTGCACTTTGGCCTGGGCAACAGAGCAAGATTCCATCTCAAAAAATAATAAAAAATTTAAAACTACATAAAAAACAAAAAATTAGCCAGGTGTGGTGGCTCATACCTGTAGTCCCGGCTACTCAAACGGCTGAGGGGGAAGATGGCTTGAACCCAGTCGTTTGAGGCTGCAGTGAGCTATGATCATACCACTGTATGGAAGCCTGGGTGATAGAGCAAGACCCTGTCTCTAACAAACAAAATTAGATTTTGTGGTTCCAGTGGTCCTAATAGGATAAACTTTTTGTCTCTAATGATTTAAGTTGTAGGCCCCTACGTTTTCATTGTGTGGATTTGATTTTTTTTTTTTTTTTGAGACGGAGTCTCGCTCTGTAGCCCAGGCTGGAGTGCGGTGGCCGGATCTCAGCTCACTGCAAGCTCCGCCTCCCGGGCTTACGCCATTCTCCAGCCTCAGCCTCCCAAGTAGCTGGGACTACAGGCGCCCGCCACCTTGCCCGGCTAGGTTTTTTTTGTATTTTTTAGTAGAGACGGGGTTTCACCGTATTATCCAGGATGGTCTCGATCTCTTGACCTCGTGATCCGCCCGTCTCGGCCTCCCAAAGTGCTGGGATTACAGGCTTGAGCCACCGAGCCCGGCCTTTTTTTTTTTTTTGAGACAGGGTTTCTCTTTTGTTGCCCAGGCTGGAGTGCAATGGCACGATCTCGGCTCACCACAACCTCAGCCTCCCGGGTTCAAGCGATTCTCCTGCCTCAACCTCCCGAACAGCTGGGATTACAAGCATGCGCCACCATGCCCAGCTAATTTTGCATTTTTATAGAGATGGGATTTCTCCATGTTAGTCAGGCTGGTCTCGAACTCCCGACCTCAGATGATCCACCCACCTCAGCACCCAAAGTGCTGAGATTACAGGCGTGAGCCACCGTGCGCGGCCTTGATTTTATCTTTCATGGCATCCTCATGATGTGCGCTATCTCCTGGAATTCTATAATTGAGGAATTTCAATGTTTTTGAATCATGTCTCTCATTTCTGGTCTCCGGATGTTAACTAGTGGCCAACACAGCAGCAGATCAGGTCTGACAGTCTTTTCCATCCATTTTCTAGCCTGGGTCTGTCACAGAGATGGATTCACCTCTATGTTGCCTACACTTCTGGACCTTAGACTAAAGAGGGATATAGGCATTGGGGATGGAGTCTAAGAGCCTTTCCCCAATAGTCTTAGCAACTATGCCTCAGAGGTATCCTGCTCATGTGGATACCTCGATTTACTGAGGCTCATTTAGCATTTTCAAATCAAAGAGCTGCAGCTCAGCCAGGCGCAGTGGCTCATGTATGTAATCCCAACACTTTGGGAGGCCGAGGCAGGCAGATTGCTTGAGCTCAGAAAGTTGAGACCAGCCTGGGCAACATGGTAAAACCTCTACAAAAAAATTAGCCGGGCATGGTGGCATGTGCCTGTAGTTCCAGCTACTCAGGAGGCTGAGGTGGGAGGATCACTTGAGCCCAGGAGGTCAAGGCTGCAGTGAGCTGTGATCATGCCACTGCACTTCAGCCTGGGCAACAGGGACCCTGCCTCAGAAAAAAAAAAAAAAAAAAGCCGCAGCTCTGGAACCATCAGATGGACAAGTTGATACAAATTAAATTGGAAAATCCCAGAGTAAGCTCCCAGTATTAGCCTAAATTGGCTGCTAAATTCTTTCCTGTTTTCCTGTTTTTTTTTTTTAGGGATGTTGCCCAAACTGGACTCGAACTCCTAGACTCCAGCGATCCTCCCACCTCAGCCTCTTAAGCAGCTGGGAATACAGTCACCTGCCACCATGCCCAGCTTTCAGGTAGGTCTTTGCAGCACGTAAGTCAGAGCATGCTGAAAGTCTGAAGAAAACTTGTTCAGGTGCATGTTCAGATCGTTTGCCTTCAGCTGTGGAAGGTGGAGGACCATGTTGTTAGGGTGTTATTGGAGAACTGGGGAGGTGGAGGGCTGAAGTCAAAGGTAGAGAGCGGTGGATACGTGTTCCCTCCAGTTCGTTCCCTCTGCCTTCAGTCTTTCAACGCCAAGATGAAGCTTAAGAGGTCCTCTCTGACTACCCACCCTCTCTGACCCCTGAGCTCATTCTAGGCTGCCCAAGCCTCCCAAACTCCCCCAGTCCGCCCTTCCCATTCTGGGTCATCACTGTCCAGGGGCAGGTAAGTCTCTCCACTGGATGGCGAACCCCATGAAGGGCAGTCTGTGGCTGTCTCAGTCACCACTGTGTCCCCAGCATCACCCAGCTCAGTGAGACAAATGAATTAATATATACTTCTCTATATATTTCGTATATAGAGAAGTCATCACATCAATATAAAATAAAATACTAAATGTTGCATATCAGTTTTCTAGTATGGATCAGACTTGGGCTAACTGCATTTTAATTTATTTATTTTATTTTATTTTGAGAGGGAGTCTCGCTCTGTTGCCCAGGCTGGAGTGCAGTGGCCGGATCTCACCTCACTGCAAGCTCCGCCTCCCGGGTTCACGCCATTCTCCTGCCTCAGCCTCCCGAGTAGCTGGGACTACAGGCGCCCGCCACCTCGCCCAGCTAGTTTTTTGTATTTTTTAGTAGAGACGGGGTTTCACCGTGTTAGCCAGGATGGTCTCGATCTCCTGACCTCGTGATCCACCCGTCTCGGCCTCCCAAAGTGCTGGAATTACAGGCTTGAGCCACCACACCCAGCTATTTATTTTATTTTTGAGACAGGGTCTCACTCTCTTGCCCAGGCTAGAGTGCAGTGGCGTGATCTTGGCTCACTGCAATCTCTGCTTCCTGGGGTCAAGCGATCCTCCAGCCTCAACCTCCCAAGTAGCTGGGACCACAGGTGCAAGCTACCACACCTGGCTAATTTTTGAACTCTTTGTAGAAAGGGAGTTTCACCATGTTGGTCAGGCTGGTCTCAAACTCCTGAGATCTAAGGGATCTGCCTGCCTTAGCCTCCTAAAGAGCTGGAATTACAGGCGTGAGCCACCGCGCCCAGCCTGAATTGTTAATAGTTGTGATTAGTAGTAACACCACAAATAAAAAGTCAGTCATCACAAACCATGAGATTACTTTCTTTTGTCCAAGTTCTCTACCCTCCAGTCACATTCCTTTCATCTCTCCCCAGTTTCCAACTCCTCCTCCATTACTCCTCCCTCTCCCTTCTCTTCTTCTCTCCTGGCAATCCTCCTCTGTATTTTCTACCCCAGGTCGTCCTCCTTCCAAGACTCCTCTCCCATCAGTCCTCTCTCCCCACCCCCTCCATCCTTCCTCTTTTCAGGCAGTCCTCTTTCTAGATGAACTCCATCTTGGTACAACAAACTAATGAGTCAAGAGTGCTGTGTGCTGAGACCAAGGCCATAGGGCCAGAGATGAGTCCGTTTTAATTGCTGGGGAAGCAGGGAGGGGCCTCGGAAATAACTCCCCCCACCCCATTCCCCACATGTCCCATCCAGTTTGGGCAGGAAGCCACTTGCCCTAGAACAGTTCATTGCTGGGATCCTGTGAAGAACCGCTGTGGAGGGCAGCAGCTGGACGAGGGCACAGGACCTCAGAGAACACTGATGCGCTCCGCCAGCCCCTGCATGTCGTGGTCCTGTGGTGGATGGGCCCCACCAAGATCCCTGTCCGTGGGCAGCCCAGACCCAGGCAGCGGATGCTCTGCCACAAACTGCTCCCAGCGCGCGTCGTCACTCTCATGCGTGATGTATCGCTCTCCCATCTTCCCCTCCAGCTCTCGGAGGTCCAGCCACGTCTGGTACTCCTGGGCCCGACAGAACTGGGGTTATCTTGGGGTCTGCATTGGAGCAGTGCCTGGAGGCCATCTGCTTTGCCACTGAGAGCTGGGTACCAATAAAGGTGAAGCCACACCCTCGGCAACTCACCCAGCCAGTAGACATTTAGCTTCGCCCCCTCTTCCAGCCAATGGGAGGACTAGTCACATTCCAGCCCCAAGGAAACCTACATCCGTCACTACCTGCCTAGCCAATAAGCGATCTAGTTTCACCCCTTCCTCCAACCCAGCCAATGGGCCAGCCCTGCCCACTGCATCACCTGTAACCAGGGGTGGCTGAGAGATTTGTCCACGCTGTAGCGTTTGCGCATCTTCACCTGCAGTAGGTTGTTGATGAGGTCAATGGCTGCATAGGAAAGAGAAACAGGTTAAGCCCTACAGGTCGAGGGTCACTCCTCCTCTAATAGGCACGCCCTAGCCTACCTGCCTGCCATCGACACCTTCCTTCTGCACTAGCTCAGGTGGTTCAGAAGCCTCACCTGTGCCAATCACTCACCCACCCATTTCCTCATTACAAATTTGTCTCCTCCTGCCCACACATGTTCACACCAGCTCCCTCTTTACCTGTTCTCTACTTCGATTCCCCCATTCCCCTGTCACCTTTTCTTTTCTTTCTGTCATACACAGGTACATACAATTACATGTGTACTATTCTTTTTATTTTTACTTACTTATTTATTTATTTATTTATTGAGACGGAGTCTCCCTCTGTCACCCAGGCTGGAGTGCAGTGGCATGATCTTGGCTCACTGCAGCCTCCGCCTCCCGGGTTCATGCGATTCTCCTGTCTCAGCCTCCTGAGTAGCTAGGAATACAAGTGTGTGTCACCATGTCCAGCTAACTTTTTGTACTTTTAGTAGAGACAGGGTTCGACCATGTTGGCCAGGCTGGTTTCGAACTCCTGACCTCAAGCAATCCGCCTGCCTTGGCCTCCCAAATTTTTGGGATTACAGGCAAGAGCCACTGCGCCCGGCCTAAATGGATTTTCAACTTACAATATTTCCTTTTTTTTTTTGTTTTGAGACAGGGTCTCATTGTTATCCAAGTTGAAGTGCAATGGCATGATCAATGCTCACTGAAGCCTCTACATCCCCAGCTTAATTGATTATCCTGCCTTAGCCTCCCAAGTAGCTGGGACTACAAGCATCTGTCACTATGGTTGGCTAATTTTTGTATTTTTTGTAGAGACACATTGCCCAGGCTGGTCTTGAACTCCTGGGCTCAAGCAATCTGCCTACCTTGGCCTCCCAAGGTGCTGGGATTACGGCCCTCAGCCACTGCGCCTGACCAACTTATGATATTTTTAATTTACAATGGGTTTATCAGGTTTATCTAATGCCAGTGTAAATTAGGGAGCATCTATGTCATCAGGCTGGGTGCGGTGGCTCACACCTGTAATCCCAGCACTTTGGGAGGCCGAGGCAGGTGGATCACCTGAGGTCAGGAGTTGGAGACAAGCCTGGCCAATACGGAAAAACCCCGTCTCTACTAAAAATACAAAAAATTAACCGGGCATGGTAGCGCATGCCTGTAGTCCCAGCTACTCGGGAGGCTGAGGCAAAAGAATCGCTTGAACTCAAGAGGCAGAGGTTGCAGTGAGCCAAGATCGTGCCACTGCACTCCAGCCTGGGTGACAAAAGCGAAACTCCGTCTCAAAAAAAAAAAAAATGTCATCAGATGGTGGGTAGTCACCATTGCCTGCAGAAGCCTCAGAGACTAAGGCCTGTTCATTGTGAAAAAGAGGACTAGCAAATGTCAAGCTTCAAGACAAGCCAGCACTCATCTGAGGCTCTCTCCTTGATGGGAAGCCTTGAAGGACAAGACTTCACTGTGTGAACCCATCCAAGGAGAGGCCTGGTGCACACAGGCACCCTGCTCCCGTCAACACCCACAGGATTCTGTGATCCTCACACAGGTGCAACCACACTTAAATTCACTTGTGCACACTCGATGCACTTTTACTCAGGGACTTCTGAGTGGGTCTCAAAAGACAATGTTGGCTGGGTGTGATGGCTTATGCCTGCAATCCCAGCACTTTGGGAGGCTGAGGCAGACAAATAACTTGAGGTCAGGAGCTCAAGACCAGCCTGGCTAACACGGCAAAACCACGTCTCTACTAAAAATACAAAAAATTAGCCAGGCAGGTGGTGTGTGCCTGTAATCCCAGTTACTTGGGAGACTGAGGCAGGAGAATCCCTTGAACCCAGGAGGCGGAGGTCACAGTGAGCCAAGATCACACCACTGCACTCTAGCCTGGGGGAGAGAGCAAGACTCCATCTAAAAAAAAAAAAAAGCCAGTATTGAACACCCCCAGTATTATTCCAGGACTCAAGTCAATCTACATTCTCACTGCTTAGGGCCTGTACTTTTAGACCACCACCGAGACCTTGTCTTGTCCTGCACTGAGCAACCTCCGCATCACCCCGCCCCACCTGCTCTATGAAGTCACACCCTCCAGAGAGGGCTCTTCCCCCTTCCACTCTTCACAGACCACTCAAGGAGCTCCCCCGCACCTGACCCCTCCTGTCCAAGTCATCACAGTATTCCCAGAGCTGGAACAGTCAATGCCTGGCACATCGTAGGCACTCAACATGTTGAATCAATGGTTATAAATACATGAATGTACTTGTTGAATAAATGGTTATAAATAAACGAATGAATGATCCCCCCCCTTCCCATACTCCATCTGTCTTCCTGAGCTCCCTGGCTCCAAGACATGTCCCTTGTTCTCCTGGCTTCTGGCACACCCCGGTATCTTAGCCTTGCCTCTGGCCCTCTAAACATGCCATCCCACACCCAGCCTCAAAGCTCCAGGCCTTAGGACTTAACTTTTCCAAGCAGGGAAAGTTACAGACCCATTCCCAAGCAGGTTCAAGTCACCAGGCCCGGTGCCACCTCATCAGGCCCAGCCACGACACCAAAGCCCAGGAATGCAGAGATCGCAACGTCTGCCTCAGTCCTAGCTCCCT